GTCAGCAGGTATAATTCCTACATTCTTAACAATATAGATTATGTACAATGGTTGCATTAACTCTGTATCTTTACTTACGCAGATGATACCTTCTAATCCCAAGTTAACTGAGTGTTATTATTATCACTGCTTTGTTTTTACACTAATTTGAATGTCATTGGTGCAATAGACATGATACATGAAATATTGTCCTTGTCCGATACACAGCATAATTATTTTTAAAAATAGTTTGAAAACAACTAAGAAGTCATTTTATCCTTATTTTCTGCTGCACACAGAATGAAATTGGCATTTGCAATATTATTCTCAGTCTATTGATCCACTGTCCTTATTTTTTTGTTTTATTTTTCTTAATTTAAATTATCTTGCTCTATGGTCTACATTCTTGAATGTGAACCTCAATCTTTTTGGAATGAATTAGGAATATATATTTAATATAGACTAGAACATTCCACAATTCTTTTTGCCAAATCTAACCTAACATTTGTTTTATTTCCCCTAAGATCAACTCCAGTTTCTCAGAAAGCAGAGAGATTGATTCTTTAGGTGCTGCATTTTCAGTTCCCTAAGATGGGAATAAATGGGAGTGAAGAGATTGTGACTCCCCTGCGCAGTTATCTCCTACAGTTAGAGAATCTATCTCCAGAGCTTGAGTTTATTCCTGGCAGGCTCTGCTCTGGGAATAAAACTGAGGGAGAGGGGAAACAATTTGGAATTGTGAATAGGGAAGAAGGAAAACACTGACTTTTGGCATTTCTTTTCTTCCCTGTCCTTCATTATTTCTGAGAAGATACAGCTGCAGTTGCTGTTACAAAATGTTGTTGATGCAGCCTCTTCCTTCCATGAGAACTGGGCTCTCTAGGGAGAGCATTGGCTCACTGAATGAGTGGCCATGTAATTTATCATCCAACTCAGGTTGTTTTTGAAAAGGTAAAGGTATGTAATTAATAGTTAATCCTCAAAACCAGACATAAACCCAACTGCCCCCAAGTAACCTAGAACTTTTGGCCACATTACATAAACATGAGATTGGATGGGTTGGAAAGGAGAAGACAGAGTAGAAGGAAAAAGAGATCCTGGAGGTGGGTGAGTGGGAACCGCAGGCAAAGATGAACATCCCAATTGTGTTTGTTTGATTTCAGACTTTAGAGCTGTGTTGCAACAGGTCCTCCACCATGTGAATGCCAACACAGCAAGGTCATTAGAGCTGAGGGAAAACCAGTGTCCAAAGACGTAAAAGGATTGTGAATCTTCTGGAGAAGGGCTGTTGCTGAATAGGTATTTGCCTCAGCAACTCCTGTCTATGCTTCATCTCTCATACTCAAGCTATCAGATGAGAAAAAGTAAACAAGAAAATATAATGTATCTGCTTGCTTTATAAACGTGGTTGGGTGAAACTTAGCTACCAGTCAAGGTATCTTTCTCCCTAGCAGTCTGCATCAGATTCATCTCAATGGGCTGCAGCACAAGCTATTCTGAAATTGTCTGTCTGGATTGGGCCACTGGTTCCTAAATTTTCAATATTAGCCCCAGGAGATTTCTGATATGCAGTACAGGGCTTGTATGATTGAAATCAATTGTACTGAGATTTTCTTTCTCTATGGCTTTCAGTATCAGGGTGTTGATCAGAAGTCACCATCCTCTCATGTTCTCTCATCTCTTAGAAACTCCAGAACTTGTGAAGTACAAATCTGAAACTCACATCTAGTCAACCTTCCAGGGTCTGGTTCATTGTTGAAGCTTTTGTGTCTATCTGAAGCTAGCACAGAGCTAGACTTGGTGCTGGAGGTTTATGAGTGACCTTATATGACGCTGGTTCAGAACTCTTCTGTCTGTTCACTGATTTAGGATATGATTTGTTCATCTATTAGCTTAGTTCTACTGCTGAGGAAAAGCTGGGTAATAATGAAAAGTCAAGGAAATCTACAGATTAAGTCTAACCACAGATTAAGAGCATACTCAAGGAGGTCAGCTAGTTCTGAGAGATCCTGAAGAGTCCCGGGGATGTTCCAGTTCTGGAATTTTTTAAACAGAAATCGAGATCAGGTCTTGGATGAGATCAGGTCTTGCATCTCAGGGGAACAAACTGTATCAAGGACCTCAGGATGAAGGGCAAGTTATATCCTGGTTGCATCATAGAGCCTCCTTTGTATTCCTCTGAGAAGCAGCACAGTCTACTTTTCTTTCACTTGTTAAATCCTAATGTGGCCACTAGCCAGGAATTTTTGGTCAAGGATTTAACAGACTGGATCCACCAGAAATAGAATTCCAGGACAATCTTGGCTCCTTTACAACTTGCTCTTTTTGGTGAGATAACAAAGGATAATTTAGAATTCTAGAAGCTTGTTTTGCAAAGCAGTGGAAATTTGGAGAACATCTGGAGAAATTAGGAACATTGAGTTCTTTAGCATGTGGGGCTCGACGACTTTCCCAGGGTTACTGATAGGGAATCAAAGATCTTTGTTGTCTTGGAAGCTTCAAGAAGGAACATTTCAGGCAGAACCAGCTTCACTTTTTATTCCTAGAAACCTCTCTTTCTATTGCCTTTATCATTGTCATAGTCACATTTCTTAGTGAGGCAGGAAACCGTCAAAAATATCTTATTCCCAGTGATTTGTTACCTTTTCTAGTGTTTCAACTGCCATTAAGCCTTCCTTATGCTCTTTGATCTTAGTATATTTGCAATCACATCTGACAGGGTGATTGACTTTGGTTTTCTGGAACTGTTTGTGGACTTCTAATCCTATCATGTCTGTTGACTCTCATTCTGAAGCTTAATGTCTTAGACTGTTCCTTCCCTCAAGAAGAGAGATGCTAATTGTCCCATAGTAGTGGAAAATTTGACATATAATCTGTAGAACAAGATCCACCAATGTTTGGGATGATTTTAATTCCAGACTCTGTTTCTTTTGAAACTAATCAATTTTAGAGATTAATAAGGTAAGAGTTGGTTCTTACTTGTTTACATGTCTGTATCTTGTTGTCCATAAATGTAATGACTATATTCATATTTTATTAATGTTTCTAGTATTGCTGCCTGGAACCATACTTGGCACTTAATAACTACGTGTTACACAAATGATTGTTCAACAAATGAATGTTAAAAACATAAAAACTTTACTTAAGCTTATTTCCAAATAGGACCTCTAAGAATAATCACTTAAAAAAATTATAGCTCCTTTAATATATCTTAAATAAAAATGTTAAAATATATAATTATAAAAATAAATGAATATGATTTTTTTATGGAGAGGCTTACTTCTTTATAACTTCTTTCTGCAAGATAGAATATTCTAATGATGTGTTTCAAGGAATATAAGATAAGAATGGATGGAGTTACTTATGTAATCTAGAAATCAAGAGCCAGCCAAAAGCCTAGAACTCAGATCCTGAATAGATGAATCCTAGATCAGGCAGATACACTGAGGATCCTTAGGCAAAACTGGCTGAACTGTGGGCAGAACACAATTGCAAAGAATCTAAAGATAAGAAGCGTAACTCAAAGTTATTAAATTGTGAAAGAGTGGAACAATCTCTGTGGCAAGAAAAACAGTTGAAATAAAGAAAGTGATAGCCACAATGGAGTAAAGACATGCAAATACAAAAATAATTCAAGAACATAAATTAGTTATGCAACAAATAGGCTCAAGCCTGAGCCAGTATTGAGGACAAGAGTTTGAGTACTCACAGCAGTACATAACTGTTTCCTCTCAGATGTTACATCTGTCCATCTGGCTGCCTCTCAGTCTTCCCACAGATAAATAATTCTGCCCTTGGGATTTTAAGTCATTAAGTAATAATTATGACATGTTTTGGATTACACTTAGAATGAAAAGAAATATCATTAGTTTCTTCTAAACCTGACTAGAGTCTGGAAATCTAGAGAGAAGCATGCTATTCCTTATTTACCCAGCGGTCATCATCCATCAATCTCGACTCTTCATGCTACAGCTCAGGACAAGAAAATACTGGAGTATCAGATTGGCAGGGCTGGGGTGTGCAGGAGGAGGAGGAGGTTTCTGAACAGCTCAAAATTGGACAGCGTGATTGATTTGTTGTTGTTGTTGTTGTTGTTGTTGGACAGCATGGATGTCACTTACAGTCTGTTATTATGGTCTTTACAAGTTGCAAGTTAGAGACATTTGTTAGAAGACATAGTAAATATGAAGAAGCAACTCAAAACTAGGTAGAATAAAATCTGACAATGATGATAAAGGACAAATATATAAAGCAAAAAAGAAAGTAAAAAGCAGAGCCCTTTGAGTTTAAAAATAATTTAAGAATGTTAAAATATTGTAGATTATCATTATAGTTTATTCTTCTTTTGAGTTATCAGTAAAAAAAATTAAGTTCTGCATATCTTCTGTATAAATTCTGGGAAGATGATATTTCCATTAAAAAGAGGAGTAAAATGAAACTACAGTGCTTTAAAGGATTAGGACTAGTAATAGCTAATGTCTATTGAGTGCATAGTACCTGGTAGGCATTGTCCTAAGTGCTTTATATGTCTTAACTCTTTCAGTTTTCATGTTGCTTTATGAGGTAGACACTCTTATTATTCCCATTTTATAGTGGAGGAAGCAGAGGCATGGAGAGGTTAAAAATACCTTGCCTAAGGCTTACTGTTAGAAACTGATAAAGCCCAGATTTAAATCCAGATTATTTTCTTCCAGAATTAAACTTTTTTTCCTCAAATATTCATAATAAAACATTTCAAACACCTAGAAAAGTTGGCAGAACTGCAAAGAATATCTATATTCTCAATAACTAGAGTCAATTATTATTTTGCATTTACTTGATCATATATCTTTCCCTGTGTGCTTCCCTCAAATCATGCATAAATTCTTATTTTGTGATACCTTTCAAAATATGCTGTAAACTGCAGTACATCTTACACATAAACACTTGATCATTCATATAAGTAACTAGAATTCAGGATTTGTTTATTGTTTTTTGAAGGTAAGATAAAAGCACAAATCTGAAGAGTACTATTTTATCAGTTTTGACAGATGTGCACACCGGTGTGCTGCAAACGCTAACAGGATATTGAACATTACCATCACCACAGAGAGGTCATCACAGCATCGCAGTCAATTCCTTCCCTACTCCTGAGATTACTTTGCTCTCTTCTAGCGCTTCGTAAAAATTGGATCCTATAGTTTGTCGTCTTTGATGTAAGATTTTTTCACTCAGCACAGTGTTTTGTCACTCAGTCATTGTTATGTTCATTGATTTTTTTGCTAATTGTATTCTATGGTATTGACTTCCATTTTTATTTTCATAAATCTATTCTTGTCTTGTTGGACTTTTTCCAATTTTGGGTACTTGGGCTTTTAAAAATATGTATTCCCATATATTTGTTATTTTTCATTCTCTTTATTCCTTCTTAAAGATAGAATTTTCATCTGAAAAATATGTATACAAAAATATATTTATCTTGTCTTCATTCTTGAAGCCTATTTTTGCTGTATGTAGAATTCCAGTTTTGAATTTCTTTTTCCTTTGACATCTTAAAGATAGTGTTACACTGTCTTCTGGTTTCCTTTTTATTTGGCTGAGAAGGCAGAGATTATGCTGATTCATAATTTCCTAATTTATAATGTGTTATTTTTTCTAAATTTCTTTCAAGATTTGATGGTGATATACCTTACTAATATTTGAACCATGTCACTTAAAATATGTGTTAGTGATGATATATAAAATCTTTTGCCTTATAGGGTTGATTTTTTAATCATAAATCTTAATAGGTAGGTGCTTTCAATATACTGCTCTTGTAATCAATCCACAAAGGATTTTATACATTTTGCAAATACACATAATTCTTTCATTTCTCTGGGTTTCAGCTACTCATATATTATTTATATATTCATGTAATGATATAACCATGTACTATATATATATATCTATATACACACACACATACACACTCATATGTTTGTAAATATAGCTATTTATATTTGCATGTAAAACCTGTCCACATCCATACAGTTTAATTATGTATATTAACCTCCAGATTTATATTTCCAATATCTGAATTTTTCTTTTAGTTGTTTCAGATGTTCCTCAGACCCACCAAAAAATGAAAAGACAGTATCTTTCCCTAATTTCTAAGCTGATGCTTTTCTCATAGTCCATATACTCCATATGGATGACAGTCAGTTGGTCATATGAGCCAGATTTTCTAGGATTCACTACCAGGACCTGTTATCTATGTACAAAGTTAGAAATAAACTATCAGTGTTTTTTAAAAATTAAGATAACAGGAATGATATTATTCCCAGTTAATACTTCTTTCTATTTCTGGATTATTCTATATGTATTTAACTTTAAAATTCAATATAGTTAACAGAATAACTCTATAAGGCAAAAAAAAGTAGTAGTTTATTTTAAGGGTGTACCATAATCTTTTATAGTGGCTGCACCTGAGATCCATGTTGACTGCTTCTCTTAACTATCAAAATTACACTATTATGAACAGATTTGAGTACATAAATTTATTTGACATTTGTACACAAGGGTCAAGTTTCTGTTGCTCAAATTGCTAGCATAAAGTGTAAACATTTTAATTTATAAACTCAGTACCAGATTTTATCCTAGACATATTTTATGCAATATACAAAGAATAGTATACTATTTTATGTGATCAAAAACAGAGTGTTTTTTTTTATATCCTAGCCAGCACTTTGCTTCACTAAACTAGGATTTAAAATTATTAAAAATAAATTCACTTATAATTGTTTTTATAAATTTTGTTGTTTTAAATTTAAATTTTATTTTGTATTTAAATAATTGAGCCATCTAGAATTTATTTTAATGCAAGTAGTTCACGGAGCCAGGGATAATGAGAACTGCCAAGTTCTGAACCTTCCTACAGGTATTCCACAAACAGTGCAGTACAATAAGAAAAACAAATACAACATAATATGTATACAAAACTATGCAAATAAATATAACAAACTAAAACAAAACCCACACCATTTTCATAACTAGAATGCAGAGAATACTCAATTTTTAAAATGCCTGTAAAAGAAAAGTAAACCCAAATTTGAACTTTGTCTTATGCTCCAAAGCCTTTATGGAATTGGGACATAAAAGAGAGAAAAAGTGATTGGTGGGAACTAACAGTGATTCAGTGACTGACAGAATGTCCACTTACATGTGAATATACCAGTGAGAAAGCATTTTCTACAAACTTCCCACTATCAGTTATGGAATAAGTTGATACTTCAGTATCTATTTCTTCACTTACATTTAAAACAAACTATTCAATTTTTATGTAGATTCCATATTATACTAATATTTCAAATTATGCTTAATCACAGTAACAAAATTGGCATAGGAGAAATGAAAACATGTGATAGATTAAAACTAATACTTACTAGTCTGTGCTCAGACAGGACACTAAGTTGTAGCCAAGACCACAGCCAATGTCAAATGGCAAAACCAGATCAGTGGACATAAATTACGTCTCGTCCTAAAACCACCAAAAATGTGACAGTGGATACTGCTGTTGGCTCCATTGATATTACTGCTTCCCAAAATGCTACTGAAGCTTCTGTTTCTCTTGCAAACATGGATTATCCATTGCCCCTCTTATTTTGTGTCTTTATATCTAAATTTAAAATTTTGAGTTGGTGCATTGATTGGATTGGCCAAAGTCCTGTGTTCACCTCTTATATCCATAAGAGGCTAGAAAAGGTATCTGATGCTTTCTTTCACTTCTCTTGCAGTAGGTCTCCAACTACAATTCATACAATAATGAGCTCTCTAAGTCTAGACAGTGAATTACCATGCTAGGCAGTACCATGTCCCCTCCAAATTAATGTCCACTATGCTTGCTCACCTTTGGTTTTACCAAACAAAACATTTTACTTTGACAACATTTACCTAAAGAAAATTACTAGACAGTCCCACCTTACATCAATCTGTCAGTTACTCAATTCTAAAAGTTGGTGGCTAAATTGTCCCAGTGAGCTCACTGATTTTCGGATGTTTCTAAAGTAGCCATACTGAAGTATCAATTGCTTACACTTGCCCCAAAAATGTACATCTTATAAGTATTTTTGCAGAGTAGTTAAGTGTACCAAAATGTAGATATAAATACATCTAGATTAACATTTATTTTTATCACCTAAGTAGCTATTCAATGATGGAAAAGTCATGAAACTCATCAAACACAGTCTCCCCATTCTTATTATCATAATGAAGATGTGTGAGAAAATAAAGTAATTTAATTAGAAACATCTAGTCCAGTGCTTCAAAAGGTACTGCTTAAGCATGGCCACAAACATACTTGCCATAAAGATTATAATAAATTTTGGCTCATACTCAAATTTGAAATTTGTTTCAAGGAGAAATATTTTTTCCATGAGAATTCAACCCATTTCCACATACTTTTGCTGCTCCTGCAAATTTCAACTGACATTAAACAGGAATGGCTTCCACTTCAGTGAACAATATAAAATATTGGTACAACAAATTTTTTAGTGTCCAGATCTTGACTTAATACAATTGACTGTGATACAATTATTGCCAAAAGCTTACTTTAGCTATTCAGTTTTTCCGAAAGCAGTCTAATGGATGGATTAACTATTAATCTTTCTATACTTTTCAGACTTTAGTGCTGTATTAAGATGGCTCACCAGAAAGTGTAGTACCTGTACCATATTATATAAATTCCCCACAGAAATGATTTTACTGAATTATGATTTAATGGTTAATAATTTAACAGTCTGCACTCAACCATCTAGAAGTTGGATGCATGCCAGTTCCATTTGATAAGTGCTTACTTTTTTTTTTTTGCAGTATCACAGAAGGCAATGCCTGCTGTCCTTTCATTCATTCATCTAGTCAACAACCCATTTCATTCAACATCAAAATGATCACTAAAACAATCTTCTGGGATAAGTGACTGGGTTGGAAGTCAGAATTAGTACTGATGAAACCAGAGCTGTGGACCAGGATTTCTTTGTGGTTTGATTTAATCTTTAAAACTTTGTGAGATATATGAGGGATTCCAAACTTTACAGATGAGGAAAAGTCAGGTGATGTTACTGAGGTCTCATAGGTGGGGGGTGGGTGGCAAATGAAGAGTCCATGATTAATTTTCTGTGGAGTAGTATCAGAAAAAGAAAGGGGTTATTATCCTAGGACTATGCAATAGGCAGGTGGCCTGGCAGATTGGGTCTGCGGTTTCAATGGAAGGTATTTAAACCATTTTCATTAATGGCAGCATCCATGCAAGAAGTTTGTAACCTCCCTTTGTGTCTGCTTTTAAGATCAATATTCTTATATTAGTTTAATATATTTGTTAGTAATCAGAATGGATCCCTAAAAATATCAAAAACATACTGATTTTGTTAACTCAATGCTACGTAGTTTTAGTAAGCTAATATTTCTGTCAGACTTTTACATCATGTGAAACTGCAACAAATTTAATCCAATGATCTTAACCTTAGAATGTTCCGATCTATTTAAATCATCCCTCTGCTTGTCAAGAAGTATGTGCTTCTGTGTTGGTAGTTCAGGGGAAGGGCTAATGTCCAAATCAACATGTTTCATTTTTGACAGTTATTTAGAGGATCTTTATTTTCTTGAGCTAAAGCTCTTTTGGCTTCAGCTCATTTATTCTAGTTCATCCTTTTGAACAATACGGAAGTCTAATTTCTCTTCCCCGTGAGAACCATTCGAATACATGGAAACAGTAAGGCTGCACTTGAGTTTTTCCCCCTCAACTATACATTCTCCATTCTTGTAGCTTATTTGTACACGGTTTTATTTTACTTAATCAACATGCTGGTTCCATTTGAAGGCCCTTCAGTTTATGTATGTGCCTTTTAGGTGTGGTGTTCATAGATTACAGCACAGTAGAGAAGGACTGCTTCCTGCATCTTCCATCAACACAGATAGGGATTATATTAGTGTTTGTGGCAGACACAAGTTAGTATTGATTTGTATTGCAATGACTATTAAGTGAAATCGCTTGACAATTTTCTCTGTTCCAAAAGCATATCTATTCTCTGCTGTAGTTGTGCTGATGGGTATTTTTGAATTTTTGAAGTTTTACAAGTATTCCTATTATATTCTTTTTCTAGTAAATTTGACTCACCGTTCTCATACAGCAAATTTTATTACAGTTAAAAATTTATATTTATTTTTCATGTATTATGTGTCAATCACTGTACTAGGTATTTTTACTCATATTATTTTGATTTATCTTCATTTAACCTGAGAAGGAATTCCAATTTATGACTGAGAAAATACATTCAGGATTATTAAATAATTTGACTGAGGTTTCTTAGAACATTAGTAACAGAATTTAGGATTTGACTGTAAGTCTAAGTTCAAAGTTCATGATTTTATTTGTTTAATGTGTTTCCACTAGGTCGTTTCTCTATCACAACCAAAATTGTTGATATTTTGAATAAGTCATATAGAATATAGATAAATCGGGTATGTCATAATCACTGGCCACTAGCCTTTAGGCAAAAATATAGGACTATCTTATTTTAATACCATCTAGCACATATTTTTTTTATCTTGTGAGATATTTTATAAATTGATGTACTAATGTTCAATTACATATATTTTACTTCACTTTCCTTATTTAATAATCAAGGCTTATGGTGAGAAAGTAGAGCACAAATAGGGTTGGTTCATGTAAAGAGAAAAATGGCCCTGAGCAGCCAGTAACTATCACAGAGCCCATGAATTTTTTATTGGAAGAGGTTTAACAATCTTTAGTTCTTCACCCAGAAATTTAGATACTCTTTCTACATAGAACTTGGAGATTAGAAATAGCAAGACAATATCAAGTCACAGTTGATTACTAAGGCAGGAAACAAAAGTCTAAAAGCACAACAGGATCATTCAGCAGTGCCTTTGGGAGCATCACATATTTTATCATAATATAATAAGGACCATTTATAAAGATAACCAATAAGTTATTTAAAAATTATTTAATATATATTCAAGGATCTCTGTGTAAAAAATATTTTGACAGACTGTCATTTTAAAGGAAAAAAAGATTTCATATGTAAGAGAAAACTTAGTTATCTAGCTCCATACTCTCAATTGTACTTATTCAGTACATCTTGGCTCCCCTCAATAAAGTTTAATATGTAAAATGTGACCATATGCATATTTGTATATGGTATATGTGTGCTTATGGTATAAATAGAAATAATCTTAGCAAACTTTTGATGTCTCAGTTATGTGCATGATATTGAGCAAGATATTTGGAAATAAGTAAATTTTAAGGTGAGTTTTTATATCATTAGTCTGGGAAGACAGATATAAGTAGATATATGTTGCCCTTCCTAGTCCATATTCTTCCCTTTAAAATTTCCTTGTACAATATCCCTGAAACATTTGTTGAAGGACTTGGGTGTGAGAAGCCACTGCTATTGCAAAAAATATTCCTGTCTTTGATCACAAATGACTGAACCAAGTATAAATGAATCTATAGGCTGGGCTCCGTCAATTAAAGTATATTTTTATTTACCTATTTTTTGAGACATATGTTATAGGTATATGGTCAGAACTTAGACTGAAAACCAAATAAAGTTAAGAGTGTCAATATTTTTAGTCTATTTGCATTCTTAGAAGTTAAAAAGGATGCCATTCTTTAAGTAGAATGCTGCAGACGTGAAAAGCAAAGCAAAACCCAGAAAACTGGATTCCATGAAAGGTATAAGTAGTCATCCCAATTTTTATTTTCATCTTTACTTCTCATTTTTATTTTCTGTAGTACATTTATGACACAGAAATGTACTATGTATTCTTGCCTTGAATGTCTATAAGATTGCATTTTGTATGTTTAAAATATATCCTGCCCTTCATTTATTTATGCTAGCAGTTGAAGTCTGATTCTTGTGATGAGTGGTATCCCAATAACATTAAATAACTTATCTTTTGCTTACTTTTAATTAATATACAAATAATGTGTTAAAGTATTAAACAACTCACTTTTGCACAACAGTGAAAAATTCTGAGGTAGAACATATGTATGTGTATATATGTGTTTAGGTGATTTCTGTCTTGGGAAAATCTTATAGAAGTAATTCAGCTAGTTCCAGCACTGTGAGAGAAAAAACACAGATGGAAAATGCCACAATATCAAATACAAACTTTGTTATCTTTAATTGCAATAATAAAATTACAAAGAGGGTTTATGCAAATAAAGAAAGAAAAATTAATCATTTGACATTGAATAGAATCATTGGAAGAGTACATTTTGACAGGAATTGGACTGGAACAAATTAGGAAAATAAAATATTTGCATATGTGAAAAATGAGTAAAGTTGATGAATGGGGAGTTTATGCATGAAATTATATTTAACGAATAGCACTTTGAATTGCCTATAGGATAATTTGAAACAGTTACCTATTTCAAAGACTAGATCCTATATCCAAGACTAGAGTTGAAATATGTGAAAACTATGAGAGTACTCCAATATATGGAATTACAAAGATGATTAAATTCAAGGGCATATATAGATGCATAGTATTCAAGATTCATAATAGAAAATTGTTGAAAGAAAATTATTTTGTGTATAGGGATTGATGACAGAGAGAAAAATGCCATGAAGAATTTTCAGGTAATTAGTTTGAGTTTTTATTTTTACAGTGGCTCAGAGGTTAAAGAGTAATTCTAGTCATGCAGAAAGACAATGAATTTTGCTTTTACCTGTTAAGTTGCTGCTACTGGTGAAGTTACTATATAGACATCTGGGGGAAGAAAGCCTTTGGGAAATATTCACATGTGCTTGGTAAATATTTGTATATGAAGAGTAATTAAAACTCTCTTTGCCCATGCATTCATCAGAATGATAGATGTATCAGAGGAAGAAGGTAAAACCTTAAGAGATATCAAAGTTTAAATTTGGGTTAAAATTTGACATGTTAAAATTGATTTAAGAAAAGTAATCAGAGATACAAAAATAGACGGAGAAGAGTAGGGTGTAGAGCCAATGAAGAATAAGTTTAAAGAAGAGTGTAGTCAATTGTTAAATATATCTCACAGGGAAATGATTGGATTTGCCAGGAAAAAAGATCTCTAGCAAAAAGCTTTCTAAAAAACGATATCTTATTAGAATGGAGAAGTTGAAATGTAGATTTCAGTAAAAGAAAGAGTGTTAAAAAGATGAATAAGTTAAACAGATTGAGTTACTCATGAAATTACAAATTAAGTTTGATATTTAGTACAGTAAAACTCAGGACAACTTAGATTTCTATGACACTAAGGAATATACTCTTCAAATGCATGTATTCAGTTTACTGGTCTCTATTTTTCATGACCCAACCTTTTGTACTTTGTTTTTATTAATAGAGCCAACTTTAATATAGAATTTTTTGCAGGTACAAAATTGGAAATGTTGGCTTCACTAGAACCTAAGGGCCTTGTTCCCTTCACTAGAGAATCTTTTGAACGTATACAACAGCGTATTGCTAAAACACATAATGAGGAACATGAAGAAGAAGATTTAAAACCAAATACTGACTTGGAAGTTGGCAAAGAGCTTCCATTTACTTATGGAAACCTTTCTCGAGGAATGGTGTCAGAGCCCTTGGAAGATGTGGACCCATACTACCATGAGAAAAAAAATGTAAGAATTAATTGAGTTTATTTTGATGACATTTTTATTGTTTTATTTCCAGACATACAGAAAATGTAATTGAGATAGGATAATTGTACAGAACTGTGTAAGATAACTCATTTTGGGAACACATATATTGGAGATTTTTATCGAAACTGGTATCTTAGTTAGGTAGTATATTTTGGATTACTTTACTTAATATATGTATTAGTATGCCTTAATGTATGTGAAATATTTTTAGGGAGCATGATGATTGTCCATTTGTGGTTATCAATTTTAAAATGCCTATAAAATGCCTAGAATATTCTCAACAACTTAAAATGTTCAACGTGATGAGTTCTCAGAAGTAAGAAAAGTAAATACAATCCATATGTTATTTATCATTTTTATTGATTCATATATACATATACTTACTCCTTATATCCAGAATGACTTTAGGCACCTACTACTATATGTACAACCCCAGTACAAGCACAAAATGCTAAATGTGAAAATAGTTATATTTAGAAATCAGAGATTGGTGTGAACCAATGAATCTGATAGAATCATTAAGGATAAGGATGCAGAATTTGAGTTATAGCTTAAAGAGCACTTCAAAGTTTTAATAAGGCAAAGGAAAGACCTGTGTGTAGGCAAGAGCAGAGAATGATTCTGGAAGGGGGAAAAGAGAAAGTGATGCTATAACTGGAAACTTAGCTGTTTCAAGTTGTGAGATATGAGCTGAGGTAATGGAGATGTCAACATGATTTTAATGTGGTGATCAAAGGACTGATGCAATGAGTGTAATGTTTAAGTAGCGTTGACCCAGTAGATTTGTAATTGATGCCTGCATGGAAGAGACAGGATTAGAAAGACAAAATAAGGCCGGGCGTGGTGGCTCAAACCTGTAATCCCAGCACTTTGGGAGGCTGAGGCGGGTGGATCACGAGGTCAGCAGATCGAGACCATCCTGGTCAACATGGTGAAACCCCATCTCTACTAAAAATACAAAAAATTAGCTGGGCATAGTGGCTCTTGCCTGTAATTCCAGCTACTCAGAAGGCTGAGGCAGGAGAATTGCCTGAACCCAGGAGGCGGAGGTTGCGGTGAGCCGAGATTGCACCATTGCACTCCAGCCTGGGTAACAAGAGCGAAACTCTGTCTCAAAAAAAAAGAACGAAATAAGAGAGAGAGAGTAATCCAGGCCTGAAGTCAAGAGGAGACAGAGAGAACAAAGCTGAGAAGAAGCAGGATTTGACTGTCTAATCATGCCAAGGTTTTCGGATTGGAGGAGTGGTGATGCCACTGACAAAATGTAATAACTAGAAAGAAGATCAAGTTCGGGGGAGGTGATGATTAGCTTCATAGTGAACAAATGTAATTGGATATTCTTGTAGAGCATTCAATGATATTATCAAATGGCTGACAAGGAATTGCACCAGATTCTCTGGATGGAAGACAAAGTGACTTTTTGAAATAAATTACAATTCTTTGGAAAACTTGTCATACTGGACGAGTATTGACATTTTACAGTGGAAATGTGTATATTAACTTAAAAAAGACTCTAGTATCTCTGGGAGCCTCCATGAGCATTATGCAGCATTGGCATAAAATACATGCCTAATCTTGAGAGCATTTTAATGAAAGTATAAATTAAGCCCTCTCCTCAATTACTTCTACATTCAGTTTTTGCTATGTTTATGTCATAGGAATTGATATGGCACAGTAACCTTAGGGTGTAATATCGTAGAGTTCTGAGTTTCCTGCAGTGTGTACAGACATGGTTGGCAAAGTGCTAGGTGTGTTACTGAAGACAAAACCAAAGATTTTGAAAAATAAAGCAAGGCTCAGAGTTACTCTTAGGGAATTAGACTAAGAACTGCAAGGATGGATTTGTATACAAAGTGCTGTTATAAATGACAAGTTATTTAAACTTGTGAGTTGGATTTGGTTTATTCTGTTAAAAATGGCATAAAATAAGTACTTTTATAATTAATAAAACTGTTTCAGCTTTTAAAATTGGGAAATTATTGTATCTGATATTCCTCATTTCATCGCAATGGCAGATACTACATCTTATGTGAAGTTTGAGATTGTTCTGAAAAATAGCATGGAAAGCACATTTTTAAAAATCAGATTTACTTACTTTGGCTTTTTAAAATTTTTACTTTCTGTTTGCTTTTATAATAGATGGAAAATAGCTATAGCATAGGTCAAAGTGTTCACAGATTGTATGTTAGAAAAATATTTTATCAAGAAGAATTATATTATAATTTAGTTTCCATTTAGCACATTTATTCATGAACTATTGTTGAATATATATTTGTACAAAGTAGTCTGTTTTTCTATATGTATAAAAATAGAAATAGTCATCTGTATAATATATAATACTGTAGTATCTAATAGATTGTCTTTAATGTATAATCTAGTATATAATTTATTGTATCTCAGTATGTTATATATTATAAATTATAAAAAATACTCTTTGGACTATAAGCTATAAAGTATTCACTATTTTTTTTTTATACCCCACAATAAAATTTTTTCCAGATATATATATATATATATAAACACAAATATAAAAATATACAAACTTATTTATATGCAGGCGTATATATCTATATAAACACACATTCATGAACATACACAAGAATGCACACATACATAGATATATGACTCAATTTTAATTTCAGGATATTTCTGATATTTCATTATTTTTTGTTAGAATTTTAATGCTTTAATATCTCAATGTATTAGGTGTGTAACACGTTATAAATTTCTGGGTTAGATATATCTATGTGAATAATATAATGCAAGTTTGGTTTTATTTCATAGATAATTGTTCAGATTTAATATACTATTTCAGTGCATTGGATATTCTTTACTATCATAATCCCACATTTGATTTGTTCTGAAATAAAATCTAACTTTTTAACACGCATTACGTTCTCAGATGCACTGGCTTTGGCATTTTTAAAGGATCTTTGTGAGCCATTGCGTTTTGTGTTCTTCCTATTCTGTTCTCTAAGAGGACTGGAGGTTGTGGCTTGTGACAAACTGTTACTATGGGTGTAACAGCAGCAGAAAAAAAAGTGGAAATGGTAGACAGATAAGCCTAAATATGAACAAATACAGCTAAAATATTTACATTTGATTTAGTTTATAAAAACATATAAAGAAGAAAAGTATAGCTGTTAGAGTCCAAGACTATAATGATTATTGATTGGCAGTATGTTTCATAATTGATGAGATTATGTTTCTGAGTTCTAATTTCACTTGGTCACTTTTCATCTTACAGACTTTCATAGTATTAAATAAAAACAGAACAATCTTCAGATTCAATGCTGCTTCCATCTTGTGCACATTGTCTCCTTTCAATTGTATTAGAGGAACAACTATCAAGGTTTTGGTACATCCATATCCTTTTCTTTTGGCTTGTTGACTTTAAACTGTACTGACATTAAATGCAACTATGCTATTATTCAACTATTTCTGCATATTTTTCTTTATTGAGTTTATATCTCATGTTAGGTCATATTGAAATCTAGATTATGCTTCATCAAGTGTTCCACATTTGAAAATACATATAAAGTATATTTTCTAATACACACAATAGTAAATATTAACGAATATTAATGCCCGTTGTTCAACAAGATTTATTTTCAACATTTAAGAAAATATTTTAGCTCATTGTATATCAATATATTTTATAGAAATATATCTTTTCCAATATTATTTATTATCTATTATTTCTTGACTATAAGCTACCCTTTTCCGGCTGTTTATTCTAATTAGTGTCCTGACTGATTGCATATTTATGTCCCTGACTAATTTGCCAAAATGGAGACCAGTAGTAGAGTAAGTTATATAATTACATTATACATAATATCATATATAATGATATATTTTTAGTAGTTTACATTTTATTTCCATAACATTGTATTATGTATTTTATATTATAATAAATTTAATACTTGTTAATGATTAAGAAAATATTTCAGTGCTTCCTTCCCATCTTCTTTGCTATTGAAATCTCATTCCTGATTTGCTTCCAACTCAAGTAACTTTCAGTCCTTTCCACTCATTAAGAAAATCACTTTCTCTTCCTTTCTGCTCTACTCCTCTCTTTCCTATGACATACCAGTAGTCTGACTTGCTTTGGACTGTAAGGATGAAAAGGCCTGTTAAATTTTCTGGGGAAAAGGCTTTCTTGAAGTTACCTTTTGATCTTTAATGTTGTTCTTAAAACTAGTTGATTTGCGAAGGTAACTATAACATTATTCACCATAAAAATCCTTGAATAGGTATATAATAAAATTAGATCTTATGCATTCCCTTAATGATAATTATTACTTATTGTGTAATCCCTATATGGAGCAAATTTGATATTCGATGTTTTTATCATTTACCTACATAATATATAAAACTATCACCTCTCAGCTAGGCTTTATTGAAAAAGTTTTTTTTTTTAAACCTTTTAAGTTCATGGCACAAGTGCAGGTTTGTTGCATAGGTAAACTTGTGTCATGGGGTTTTATCACCCCAGGTATTAAGATTTTTCATCACCCAGGTATTAAGCATAGTAACCACTAGTTACTTTCTTTGTGATCCTCTCCCTCATACCACTCTCTACCCTCCAAAAGGCCCCAGTGTGTGTTGTTCCCCTCTATGTGTCCTTGTGTTCCCATCATTTAGTTCCCACTTCGAAGTGAGAACATGTGGTATTTAGTTTTCCATGTCTGTGTTTGATAAGGATAATGGCCTCCAGCTCCATCCATGTTCCTGTAAAAGAAAATTCATATGGAACCAAAATACCCAAATAGCCAAGGCAATCCTAAGCAAAAGAACAAAGCTGGAGGCATCATGCTATCTGAGTTCAAATTATACTACATGGCTGCTGTATTGAAAAACTTTTAATAGTCAAATGTAACGGCATATGCCATAAGACACAACCTACCCTAGAAATCCTATTTAAAGCATTGAGCTAGGGCTCAAGGAGCACTTGCTTTCTTGAATGTTGTCTAATTTATTGATGGTTGGTTTGTTTTGGCCTACCAAGTAGACCTGCTCTCACCGTTCTGATGACTTATTCTTAAAGGCTACCTAGTTATCATAGACATAGTATTTCAGAGCTGACAATGTATTATTCTCACCATTAATATTATTTGAAAAAAATTTCTGCAGAAATACTTTGCTTGGAATTTACACATTTGAAATACTTGTAAAACTCTTTGCAAGAGGTGTCTGGGCAGGATCTTTTTCCTTCCTTGGTGATCCATGGAACTGGCTTGATTTCAGCGTAACTGTATTTGAGTGAGTATTTCTTTAAATTGAGTCTATTTTAATGTTTTGCTCAGAAAATGTTTTTCATAAAAAATAGTTGATGTCTACAAAATTTCTGCCTGCAAATAGTCTGCAAATGAAGAATACTTCAGAGTTATAGTGAGTTCTTTCATCTACCTCTGACCTAGTCCTCAGAAGATGCACTAAAAATGAAAGGAGTGGATTGTTTTCTGCTTTCTATTTGGAGCAACATTGATAATGATTGAATTAGTGCATTTTAAATGTGCCTTTTAGTGATAAGTGAGCAGAGAATCTCCTGAATACTTAGGAGAATGTCCTAGCAGATTTGATTCTCAATTCCCAAACTACATTACATGTAGCTACATTGCTTAAGACCAGTGAATATGCTAGAGATCAGAATAAGGTATCTTCAACACCCACCCCAAACACAGATTTTCTGGAATGCTTCAGACAGTTCTAACAAGTTCATGTATGTTTTTTAATACTTCTTTTTAATGTATTCTGTTTTCTAGCTATGGAAATCATTACTGGCATCAAAGTCTTATTAAAAATAATTTAAAATGATTTTCTATATGTAGATTTTTTATCAGTTTTAAAAATAACATTTATAAAGAGCATAAACAGTGTCTGCTATACTGCAAGCATTCTAAAATAGTGTCTCATATCACTGTAATTATTACCATCACTAGTTTTATTATGGTTACCATTGTCTTTGCTGTTTTGCTGTGGCTGTTAGCTAACACTTTTAGAACCCTTACTATGTTCCAGGTGTTCTTCTATGTACTTCACATAAGTTAACTCATTAAATTCCTCAAAAAACCCTCTTAATCAGGAAGTGTTATTAACCCCACTTTACCATCAAGGAAATGGAGGCAAGAAAGATTTAAATAATTTGCTCGTGTCACACAGTTAGTTAATGGTAGAGCCGTCTGGCTTCAGAGTCTGTGCCCTTAATCAATACACAGTCTGACTTATACCATCATCACCATCACCATCATCATGGTCATCATCACCATCATCGTCAATATCATCACCATCTTCATCCTCATTGTCTCTTCATCTTTATTCTCATATCACATCCATAATTATCATCAGCAATCATCAGTCTAAATACTTCAAATGAGTCTATTCCTTAAAAAACTAGATATTTATTTTTTATTGTAACTATCTTATCAGCAATTAGATAACAAAAGATTTATGAACATAGTCTAGAATGTTTGATAAGAAATTAAGTCTCAAACTTTTGTAAATTCCCATAATTTAAGTTTATAGATTAATAATTACCTGGCCACCTTCCACCATAGCAATCTTTGTCTTACAATCAATAATAAAACTGTTTGCAATATGGAATCATATGATCAAGGGAAATGTTTGCATATATGGATTAAAAAAAGTTTCAAAACCATAAAAAGCCAAAAATAAGTAGCATAGATGTAATTTGACTTTTAAATAACTCTAATTTAATTCCACAGGATTATTATAAGATACTCACCTCTAAGCTTCATTCCAATGCTTCAAACTGTAAGAACTTTGAGAATTTTAAAAATTATTTCTTTAAATCAAGGTAAGAAATTGCACCGAATGTCTTTTCTTCATTGTATTTTATATACTACCATGTATTCACTTGAACTTCCCTAGTGTTGTTCAGAGGAAATATTGAATAATGTTTCCACTTTGAAACCAATGAGTTATCTGATCTTTAAATTTATGTCACTCCAGGAAGGAGAAGAAAAACATTCACTATTATTTATTTGGTGTAGACTCAATTTTTAGAAAACCATAGCATAGGCATCAATCAAATATATTTTAATTGGTAATTCTTAAAATTAAATATGAACTTATAGAATTCTTCTTAGATTTCTGAGAGAAATAGTGGTCTAGACAGATGTCTAATCTGCTTCTTTCTTCTCCTCATTTTATCAAGAAACTAGTTGACATGAACAAAGTAATATAAAATAAGATGAATCCCCCTTTGCTTTGAGTGCTCGGATAGGGTGCAGTTCACTCACATACCACAAAATTTATCTTCCATCAATGTGGTTGCAACTTTCCCACATTGAAGACTAATTTACAGCTCCCATGCTGAAGACTAATTGACAGCTCCCATTTCTAAAGACATTCTAGCAGAGGCACACCAACACCTTCTAGTTTGTTATTGTGAGTAAATAAGAACAGTTAGATAGGAACAATTCTACCCAGAATGTTTAGCTGCAAGTCAGAAGTGTTATGATATAGCTGTATCAAGAAAGCAAAGGAGGAATGTAATAAAAGCAAAAACAAAGTCTACAGGCAACTTTCATAGACCAGAAAGAAGGCCAGATATACATAGGCGATGTATTTGTAGTTCAGGCAGAACAAAGGAGAAAAACAGATAGGAAAATATGATGATAATTCATAATCTGTGAATATACTAAAACATTGATTTGTACACATTAAGCTGGTGAATTGTAGGTCTTGTGAATTATATCTCAGTAAAGCTGTTGAATAAACAGTCTGTTGAATGGCAGCTTTACCAATTCTAGTGAATGAATCAAGTAGTAAGAATTAACCTGTCGGGAATTTTCACAGCTCTAGCTCCCTTACTGCTCCCCACATATTTCACCTGCATCTTCATCTTAAGACTAGAGGTAAGAATTATTAAATAAATCAGATGAATTCAAATTATAATAATAAAAGAAGAATTTAATCACTAGAGTTAGAAGTTAGAAGCCTATAGGCCAGAAGGGAGCTCTCACATTTTTTGCCCCCCAAGGGAGAATAGAGTAGCACATAACAGCAATATGGAGTGTAGAAAAAAATTTTGCAATATAGAAAGAGAAACATATATTTAATAGAAAGAAAGTATCCTCTTTTAAAATAAATGTGCTTAAAATTAGAAGCATACATAATAAATTATTTTTGTAGTCCCAGCAGAAAACCTAGATTCTCTCAACAGAAGATGAAATGAGATAGTAATATAGGTAAATATAACTAACTTTAAGACAAAAAAGAAACCGATAAAAATTATACTACCCTAGGTGAATATTCAGTGGTAATGGAAGCTACAAAATAATATTATCCATGCATCAAACATGCACACTTGTATGAGGAAAGACTAGAGGAGTTCTGTATTCATACACTAGAACTGAAAAATGGAATGGATTAATGAAGGAGAAAAAATTGAATTCCATCTTATGCATAAATGGTGGTCCTAAAAATGGACCAAAATAAATATATTATTAAAATATTTACAATAGAAAAAAATTAAAATATTTTTAACTGGAAAAATACCCTACAAATGAAAGAGATCAGCTTATAGTAGGTAAATAAAACTATAATATATACTTAGACATATTATAAAAATTGTTATAAATTAAGATATTAAAGAATTAAAGTATTATAAATTCTTCAAGCAAAAAAGTGAGAAACATATCAGGGACAGGTCACTGTTAGACCTCATGTTCACATTAAAATTAACGGTGTTTGAGAGCTTGGGGAAAAGTGTAGGCAGGGAAGTTGAGACACTAGAATTCTATACTTGACTGTCAATTGTATGTATAGTCAACAAATGGATATTCTCAGCTATGCAAGAATTCTGAAACTGTAGATGTGTGTGCTTTCAGAATATCTGCTGAAAAAATAAGTGTGAAAATAAAATATTTCACAATGAGAGGATTTAGTTCTAAAAGTAATTGCAATGAGCTCTGAAACCATTTCAGCAGAGAATGGAACGCAAATTACTGTTGTTAGTGAGTTGCAAAACAGAATGCAAATATTATAAATCAGAAGTTACCACATGGATATCTGTGGATCATTCTTGAACTAGAGACATATTTTATTTGTATTTTAGAAAACTTTGAAATAGATGCCAATATTATAAAAATGTAATAATTTTATGTTGAAATCCAATTTAACTTGGATGAATTGTCAGGATAGTACACCTACATCTGTGAATGGCAACAACCTGCTGTGGGTGATGAACAGCTGCCACTTCAAGTCAAGCTCATCCAGGTCCTCTCAACTCTGTTTGTGTGAACTTAGACTTCCTGGCAAGCCTTTGTAAGGATTTGAATTTGATCCTTTCTATAAATCGTAATAGATAATGTAAGATACAAAATACTTAATTCAACAATTATAACTAGGTCAAAAGTTATTAACAAAAACTGAGAAGTAACAATAGAGAAATGTGAAAAATAAATACAGTTATTTTCTTGCTTATGTGGTGGGACTGAGTAGATACAGTCTTATTGATGTAGAGATTTGCATGTTATTTCAAAATAGAAACATAAATTGGATATAAGCTCTTAAAACATGTGTTTTATCTAAACTACTAAAAAAAAAGAGACACAGTAAATGTGTTGATAGAGGAAAAGAAATGCAGTAAATAATAAGGGGAATATAGAAATCAAAAGTAAAGGTATATTCCAATGTAAACCTAATTTATGCAAATAAATGCAATTGGTTTAAAAATTTTTATCAAGGCAGAGACTTTATTTTTTTTTATTTTATATTTTTTTAGAAGGAAAGAAGAAAAAAATGAGTAAAGGAGAGAAAAGGAAGAGAGAGAGGGAGGGTGAATGGAAATATTGTTTTATTCTGAAAAATATGGGTATTAATAATGGCCAATCAATGTTTCATTTAAACCTATGAGTAGGTGTGATGTGGTATTGACAAGAATGTATATTTTATGTATTTGATGGGAGAGCTCTATAAATATTTAATAAGTTTACTTGTTCCAGATCTGAGTTTGAGTTCTTGATATCCTTATTAATCTTCTGTCTCATTGAATCTAAGTCTCTATGTATCTGGGTGTTAGGATCGTTAGCTCTTGTTGTTGCATTGATCCTTTTACCACTGTATCTTTGTTGCTTTAAAATCTATTTTATCCGATACGAGAATTGCAACTCCTGCTTTTTATTTATTTATTTATTTATTTATTTTTGCTCTCCATGTTGTTGGTAAATCTTTCTCATTCCTTTGTTTTGAGTCTTTGTGTATCCTTGCATGTGAAACAGGTCTGGATGTAACATACCATTGGGTTTTGGCTGTGTCTTTTGATTGGGGGATTTAGTTGATTTAAATTTAGGGTTACTGCCATTTGATGTTAACTGGCTGTTTGATCCATTCGTTGATGAAAATTCTTCTTTATGTTGGTGCTCTTTACTTTTTGGTATATTTTTAGTAAGGCTAATACTGGTTGTTTCTTTCTGTGTGTAATGCCTCTTTCAGAAGCTCTTGTAAAGCAGGCCTGGTGGTAATAAAATCTCTGAGTACTTGCTTGTTCATAAAAGATTTTATTTTTCCTTCAGTTGTGAAGCTTAGTTTGGCTGGATATGAAATTCTGGGCTGAAGGTTCTGTTCTTTGAGGATGTTGAATATTGGCCCCCACTGTCTTCTGGCTTGTAGAGTTTCGGGCAGAGACTTTAATATGAAGTCAGAAATGCAATTAAACTCTATAGGAAAACAGAGGCTAAAATTTAAAAGAAGGAGGAAGTTATATAAGAAAATTAAGATCAAAACTGGCCTACAGCCCAGAACTTTCTAACAAAATCTTATTATGATATAATAATGAAAATTATTAACAAACTTAATTCTATAAAAATTTGATGGTGACATTTTTTCCATGAAACAAAATGTCAGCACTAAAATTAAAGCTCCACTAGAAACTGAGTATACGATGGAAATATATATCTGTCTCTACATGTGTGTGTGTGTCTGTGTGTGTGTATATATATATATATACACACACACATGCACACGCACATTTATTTTCTTTAACAATTGCTCTTTTTTTTTAAAAAAAAGAATTGCTCTTCTTAAAAGCATTTCCAACACAATATGAAAAAAATTTCAGTATAAAAATATACAAAGGACTCTGCTGGTGCAGTGGCTAATACCTGTAATCCCAGAACTTTGGAAGGCCAAGGTGGGCTAATCATGAGGTCAGGAGTTTAAGATCAGCCTGATCAATATGGTGAAAGCCCTTCTCTAGTAAAAATACAAAAATCAGCCAGTTGTGGTGGTACGCATCTGTAGTCCTAGCTACTCAGGAGGCAGAGGCAGGAGAATCGCTTGAACTTGGGAGGCAGAGGTTTCAGTGAGCCAAGATTGCACCATTTCACTCCAGCCTGGGTGACAGAGTGAGACTCCATCTCAAAAAAAAAAAATAAAAAAGCATATATCTATATATATGTATACACACACACACACACACACACACACACACACGACTCATGATAGTTACCAAATAATTACACAATGCAAATATACCTATTTTAAAAGTTTAGAATAGTTAAGTACAGAAATTACATTGAAATAATTTTATTTTTTCTAATAAACTGCCAACAATATTTTGAAATGTTCCAGTTTTAGCGAAGGCTTATAGTCTGGTTTATACATTAGTTCAACATCTCTCAAAAACAATGTATCCACACTAAAACACTGTTGCCTATTTGACACAGAAATTCTAATATATGTCTGGTATAATACTTTGAAAAGACTTGCTCATAATAAAAAGAATAATATAATTCTAAGTGGCAAAAGGAAGCTATAAACATGTATTTTATGATATCAAATTAAAATTGTATATTTAATCTAGATTATCACATTTCTGTAGTTACAGAATGACTTTATTTCAATCCTGTCATATTTTACTCAAGAAATCTAATCATTTGAAGTCATTCAAAAGAATAGTTTTCCATTCTCACAATAAGATAGAAAGTAGGTATTATTTCCACTTTAAAAAAATCATAAAACTAAGGCATAAAAATGTTGATTACTTGCTTGGTTAACATCACAGAGTTAGTATTTTCTCACTTATATTGTGCTGAGCAGTTATTAGGATACTAAATGCACACAGACCAGCAAATAAGAGAGGAAGTGAAAAAGAAAAGGGAGGAGAAAGGGAGGTAGGGGAGAAAAAAAGTTTATACATCGCAAAGTTAATAGTAATTTATTCTATGAGATATGATTATGTTATTTTTGTTTTTTCTTGTTTTCTGCTCAGAATTCAGTATGTGTTACTTATAATTAGAAAAATGTATATCCTTAAGTAAAGCCAGGTTTAAGTTTGAATTCTCTATTAGTATTCTGAAATAAATACAGTTTACGTAGATCACCATTGTGTAATTCTCATTCCTGCCTATTGAAATTCTTCATAATTTTATTTAATTAGCTCACAAAATTGAATTCTTATAAAGTTGATTAAAGAATAATATAGAATACTGATGTTTCAAACTATTTCTTTTTTCAAGTACAATTTAATTTTGATTTATAACCTTACACCTTTACTTATGCTTATAAACATTGGAGGTTGGTATGACACTTGGTAACCAAGAGAGGGACATTGTTTTTCTTTGTAAAGAGTAACAAATAAATAATTTTAAATAGTGTGCCTGAATTATTTTGTTAGGTGTTATAAATTAGCAATAATACATAAACCTCAACATTTCATTTATTATTCACTTTCTTTAGGAGACCTAAATATCTAGAATTACATTATAAGTTAAAACTGTTGATTTCAATGGAGTATGCAGTTGCCATGGGAGAGATTTGCCAATAGTGCTTTTCCAAAGTATTATATTACGTTAAAAACAAATGTTTCTCTTTCCAGGTCTGAAGTCCCTTGTAGGGGTTCTGATCTGCTGCGTGAAGAAACTTACTGGTGTCATTATCCTAACTCTGTTTTTTCTGAGCATATTTTCTCTAATTGGGATGGGGCTTTTCATGGGTAACCTGAAACATAAATGTTTTCGATGGCCCCAAGAGAATGAAAATGAAACCCTGCACAACAGAACTGGAAACCCATATTATATTCGAGGTAAGAATCACCTTGCCTTGTATATCAAAGATTGAAACTTTTGTTAAAGGCAAAGCAGTCTTCCCAGAAATGTTGAACATTTAACATCTTGCTAGATTCCCAAAGGCTTTGGCTTGTGTATCAGATGCTAGGTTAAAAAGGCCAGGATATTTTCTCTTTTCTTCTCAACTGCGGAAAGGGATTTTAGGTTCTGCAGAGATCCAAATGGACTTCCAATGTGCTGCTAACTCATGATTAGATATAGAATATAATTTCTCGCCTATTTTTCAGAAACAGAGAACTTTTATTATTTGGAAGGAGAAAGATATGCTCTCCTTTGTGGCAACAGAACAGATGCTGGGTAAGTGGTATTAGTTTTCTTCTATTAAATCATTATCACCTGTCAATGGTACTTAATGAAGGACCATTGCTTTTATTTTTGGTTCCCATTTGATTGCATTATGTCACTTCATTGTCAACACCATACTGAGTTGTCTTAGTCTATTCTGGCCACATTAACAAAATACCATAGACTGGTTAGTTTAAAAACAACAGAAATTTATTACTCACAGTCTGGGAGGCTGAGAAATCCAGATCAAGGTGCTGGGCAAATTTGGTGTCTGGTGAGGGCCTGCCCTCAGGCTCATAGATGGTGCCTTTTTGCTGTGTCCTCACACGGTAGAAGAGGCCAGAGGTTTCTTTCATGCCTCTTCCCTGGAGATACTGATCACATTCAAGAGGACTTCACTCTTGTGACCTGATTACCTATCAAAGGCTCCACCTTCAAATCACTTTGGGAGTTAGAATTTCAGCATGAATGTTGAGGGAACACAAACAGTCAGACTATAGCAGAAGTATGCAATGTGGAATACTATTCATCCAATTTTACAGAAAAAGCAATAGTCAGACTAATTCAATGATTTCTTCCAAGTCAAGAAGCTAGTTAATGGCAGAGCCAGGACTTAAACAAGAATCTTGTTTTCAAGAGGGCTCCAGAGCTAGTGAAAATGACCAAGAAAGACAATAGAAGTCTATCCTTTGGAAAGAAGCTTTGGAAGAAAAGAAATATTAAAGATATGCTGATATTTCACTTAATATCTTATATGTTTTTCTGGCTATAATTTACATTAATAAAAAGCTCTTTCTTAAAATCAGCATTTCAAAATCATTTTTCAGTGAGATGACAAAACTGTCATGTCTCATTGTCCTATAATTTCAGATGAAAATTCCAATTCAGAAAGTGGAAACAAGGCACTTCTCAGCAGTGTGTGATGCACGTAATTCCCTCGTGTTGCTTTGCTCAGCTGAGATGATTTAGCAAACATCTGTAAACCCAGCTCTTTCTTACATTCTGGTGCCCAGATTAACAAAAGGCACATGGGGAAGGAGAGCATGAGTTAGTTATATGGTTTAGTTAAATTCAGGGGATTTGGATATTTTCTCACTTGTGCAGCATATATATACATATATATATATATGTGTGTGTGTGTATATATAATATATATATATATGTATATATATGTTGGTTTGAGACTGAGTCTTGCTCTGTCACCCAGGCTGCAGCGCAGTGGCATGATCTCTGCTCAGTGCAACCTCTGCCTCCTGGGTTCAAGCGAGTTTTGTGCCTCTGCTTCCCAGGTAGTTGGGATTACAGGCATGTGCCAGCAGGCCCAGCTAATTTTTGTGTTTTTAGAACAGACAGGGTTTCACCATGTTGCCCAAGCTAGTCTCGACCTCCTGAGCTCAAGGGATCCACCTGCCTTGGCTTTCCAAAGTGCTGAGATTACAGGCGTGAGCCACTGTGCCCTGCACCTGGCCTCAGCACATATTTTTTTGCCCAGCTCCTCCTGGGCTTCCATTCTATTCTCATATCTGAATGGTGAATCCATCTCTTTGTATCTGTTCCATTCCATTTCAGCTAATTCCTTTACATACATTCCAAAATCAAATATAACCTAAAATACATTTTTGAGATAGTGGTCATGGATATTCATGATACAATGGCAAATTTCAAGGCAAGAAGAGAAAGTCATGCGGTGTTTCTTCTGCAGCTGTCATACCTGGCTGCATGGTAAACTATTCCAGCACAGCAAGACAGCAACAAAACTTCATTTGTTCAGATACTGTGGGTCGGCAATTTAGTAAGCTCTCATGCACAAATGATTTTTAAACCTCTCCTTGTTCCCTTAAAACTAAAACAAGTATCATGACTAAACCCAAAATGATGTGAGAGAGAACTACACAAGGCCATGGCGAGAGGAGGCCTGATTTATTGGGCCGCTACTGTAATAATGGAACACAGCACCAAAGCCCCTAAGTAGACAGAAGTATGAGGGCTCCCTGAAAAGAAATAAAATAAATATTTAATTTGGTCTGCCTCCCCATGTGCAAATACTGCATATAAATTATTGATACGATAAATGTTTTCTCACCCTTAAATAATGGGCTCTAAGGGCTGGAGATGAAATCATTAGAAAATTATACCCTCAATCGTTGCAGTTTTATTTTTATCAGTACTATTTTCCATTAGTTATACCTTCACTCTAATGTTCAGATATTTCTCCTTTAATATTGTAGTAAAGATACAGTTAATACAAGGCATTTTATTTTTGAAAATGGTAAGATGATAGATATTAAGTATTCTCACCACACACACACAAAAATAAGTATGTGAGATACACATATGTTAATTAGCCCCATTTGTTCATTTCACGATACACACATATTTCAAAATAGCATGTTGTATTTCACAAATATATATACAGTTTTTGTCAATGAAAAAACAAAGAAATACAAAAATTGGCTTTGGAAAAAAACACTTTTGAGGCCCCTTTTTATTTTTGCTTAATTAACACCATTTGCTGTATCAACATAAAATCTAACTCACTTACAACTTTTTAGCAGGCAATTGTTTGGGAGACTTACTACTCTCCCCGTGGAAGAGGGAGTTCTCTATTATTCAGGACAGATGTTCTATATTTATGATTTGGCCATAATCTGAAAGTCACCTAACAGTAAGCAGTCTTTTTCTTTGTCTTCTTTAGTCAGTGTCCTGAAGGATATGTGTGTGTAAAAGCTGGCATAAATCCTGATCAAGGCTTCACAAATTTTGACAGTTTTGGCTGGGCCTTACTTGCCCTATTTCGGTTAATGACTCAGGATTACCCTGAAGCACTTTATCACCAGGTAAGAACAGAGAGAATCTGTACTGTACTTAGAAATGGCACCATGCCCTCACTTCTAAGATAATGGTCAAATGTAATAGAGTTTATTAAATTTTTATGTGCAGAAGAATTGGAGGACAAAAGGAAAGAGAACTAGAATTATTGAATGTCAAACTATGTGCTGGCCACAATGCCAGGTGTATTATATCTTTAATTTTTGAAACAGTTCTACAAGGTTAGAGAGAGAAGAAAAAGAGAGAGTGTGTGTATGTTTGTGTGCATACTTTTTATTGAAGACACTAAGTTTTAGAGAGGTCAACTAGCCTCCCAAAATATATAGTAGTTGAACCTTCCCCATCTCAGATCACTGTCTTTTTCCAAAGCCTATGGTATTACACATTTGATAATCACTAAATAAAGAACACTTCTAGGTATTAATTCTTTAGTTAAAACATTTTGAATTTATGAGGTTACCATGTATTAAGGAATTATTTATTGAACATATAGTGTCCTATTTCTTTTTATTCTTCTATTTCTTCTTATCCTTTTTGATATTCAACCATTCAATCATGTTCCAGTTAAAATAACAGAAGACTTACTGTAATCAGAATTGAAATTCAAATTCTGAGTCTGTCTTCATAACTAATTATGTATGTGTCATAGTTTCTCAGAAAGGTATGATATTCATTAAAATGGGAATTCAGTGTTTCTGTAAAGAGAAGTTCTATCTTAGTAGAAAGTACAGTGTTATTTTCAAAGTGGCGTTACTTTAACTTCTGAAGTTATTTATAGTTGAAGGAGAACTTTTTTTTTTATAAACAGACATACACACCCAGTCCATACTTACTTTGGTTGAGTTGATAAATTGTGGGCAGTATATGTGTATATACAGGTCATTAATAATGATAGGCTAACATAATATATTTGAGGCACAAAGTTTCAGAATATATTAAATGGAAATCAAGTAGACCAAGCATATATGCAGTATAATTGTATTTTTAGTAAAAAATAAAAAACATGAAAATATTGCAAGTGACATTTTTACACAAACTATATTTTTCTAATTTTGTTATACTAGTACTTATATTAGTATTTCCAGTCTTTTTGACAAGATTCAGTGTTTTCTTCAAAACACTAGGAGGTTCTTATTTCTAAAATAATCTTATCATGTTATCCTTTTTCTAAAAATGCTTCAGTGTTTTTCAAATTCCTATGGGCCAAAGTTCTAATTCTATATGCATGATATGTAGTGCCCTTTAAGGTCTCATCTGCCTACATCTCCAGATTTATTTCTTAACATATGCTAATTTATACTCTGCTTAATTACTTTAAAGGTTTTCTGCTTCCTAAATAAGCGTTTCTCATACTTATTTCCATGTATGGTGTACCCTTCCCTAAATTTAAGTTTCTCCTATTTGCCTTCAGTTTCTTGCTTCGAATTTGTGCTATGAAACCAGGATTTCTTCTTTGAGCTTTTCTCCAAGCCCAGTGTAGGAGTAAGTCACATCCTACACTGAAATGCCACAGGCCACTATACTTTCCTCAGATTGTGGTGTTTTAGTTGCTTGTCCAGCTATTTTTCTTACTTGGAGATGAACTGCCTGAGAAACTACCTGCTAACTTTTTATCTATCTGAGAAAAAAATACATATTTTTGTCTTGCTTTAATTTTGTTTTTTTTTTTCTCAGTATCTAACACATAGAAATATTTAATGGAACTATAATAAAAATGCAAGTGAATATTTATGGGCTATTTTACAGTATATGCTATAATAATACAGGTTTTGCTCTTTGCTTATTGCCCCCAAAATGTATGAGTTAATTTTCTTGTTAGCATTTATTTAAAGACAGTTCTTTCCCTCTACCAAAGAAAGAGAGAACCAGTCTGGAAGTGTCCTGCTACTGGGGCCCTCAGGATCTTTATTATTGTACTCCAAGTTTTTTTTCTTCTATGCTTAAAGTTCTAGGATACATGTGCAGAACTTGCAGATTTGTTGCATAGGTATAATGTGCCATGGTGATTTGCTGCACTCATCACCCCGTCATCTACATTAGGCATTTCTCCTAATGCTATCCCACCGCTTACCCCCACTCCCCAACAGGCCCTGCTGTGTGATGTTCCCCTCCCTGTGCCCATGTGGACCTGTCTGTGAGTGGAAGCAAGGGGAGGGATGGCATTAGGAGAAATTCCTAAGTACAGCTCCTGTTTCAAGCTAAAATGTAATAAAACTAGAAATTATGTACTATTTTTATGCTAACAAGAGCATAGGCTTTTATCCTCCACTAGCATCATATAGTGGAAAAAGCAAAAGTTCCGAATTCAGATTCTCTCATAGGCTGTGAGATCTTTTTTTCCTATCCAATTTTCATTTGCCTTCTGAAACTGATATTGAAAATAGTGTTGAATAAGATAATAAACATAAAGTATAGTTGTCCTTCAGAATCCATGGGGGATCAGTTCCAGGATCTCTGGTGGATACTAAAATCCATGAATGCTCAAGTTCCTTATGTAAAATGGCATAGTATTTGCATATAACCTACATAATTCCTATATACGTTAAATTGTCTCCTGCATACTTTAAATTATGCCTAGGTTACTCATAATACCTAATACAACGTAAATGCTATATAAACAGTCATGTGTTGCTTAGATGATTTCATCATCTTTCGATTAATGAGGTAAAATCAATGGATAATGTTTTATATTTGTAATATTCTTACAATTTTTTAAATTTTTTAAAATTAAACTTTCTGATCTGTCTTAGGCAATTATTATGAAATAAAAGCTAGTCAGTGCTATGTTTGGCAATCTAAAATGCATTCTGCTATCCATAAATGTCACCCACTGTAATGCCTTCATGTAAATGGATTATATGGCTTCCCCATGTATCTTGTCTAAAAGTTTTCACCAAAGCAGATACTCTGACAGGCAATGCTCCCCCATTCCTTGTAAAGACTAATTTTTCACTTTGCTGTGATTTTTCCATAAAGTAGTAATCAGAAGAATATAATCTCCAACCATTATCTGCCTTCATTAAATTTCATGTATTTAAAGATTCTACTGCAAATAAAATAACTTTCCATGTTAAGGCTGTCCAGCTTCTATATTGAGAGATGACAATTCTTTCAAATATGTTTTCTCTATCAATGTAGACATAAAAATCGAATACCCTAAGTTAATTGAGTTACTAAGTTTCCCTGGGTTTCACAGCATATATTTTATAGCTTACATGCATGCTTCAAGTTGAAAAGCTTTTCATTTATTTCTTCTGGTGGAGCCAGTCTTTAAACTGTCTTGTGATTACATTGCATTTATGATTAAATTATTTTCCTAACAAAGTTTCACCTTTTATCTTAGAATAGGAGAATACAGGAAGATAAATAACATTTTACCCTTTTGTTTTACTTTCTACCTTTCCTTAGATACTTTATGCTTCTGGAAAGGTCTACATGATATTTTTTGTTGTGGTAAGTTTTTGGTTTTCCTTTTATATGGCAAGTTTGTTCTTAGGCATACTTGCCATGGCTCATGAAGAAGAAAAGCAGAGAGTTGGTGAAACAACTAAGAAGACTGAACCAAAATTTCAAAAGACTGGAAAAGAACTCCAAGGAGGAAATGAAACAGCTGAGGTATAACTTTTTCCTTTTCTTGTCTTGAAACAGCAATCATTTATTTGTTGTTGGTTCTATGTTACTGATTCATTATTATTTGCTCATGATTCTATGGCTTAGGTTCAGCTGAGACAGTTCATCACTGGTCTCATGGTGGTCAGAGATTCCAAAAAACAGCAGGGGAGTTAGCACCAATGCCAAGTGCCTTAAGGCTCTGCTTGTGTCACATTTGTTATTGTCCAGTGGGCGAAGCAAGTAACATGGCCAAGGTTAGAGTTAAGTTGGAAAGGGACTTCCTAAGGAAATTTGTGGCCATGTTTGCAAATAATCTACCACACTTAAGGAGATTTGTTTGTTTGGGTTTTAGTTCCTTTTCTTAGTGATGGTGGTTTCTATGCAGTTTTAAATTTTTTATAATTTCAACTTTTTTGAATTTTAAATAGTTGTTTTATTAGAGCATCTTTTTTTATTATTATACTTTAAGTCCTGGGATACATGTGCAGAACATGCAGGTTTGTTACATAGGTATACATGCACCATGGTGGTTTGCTGCATCCATCAACCCGGCATCTACATTAGGTATTTCTCCTAATGCTATCCCTTCTCTTACCCCTACCCTGCCAACCGGTCCCAGCGTGTGATGTTCCCCTCCCTGTGCCCATGTGTTCTAATTGTTCAAACCACACTTATTAGTGACAACATGTGGTGTTTGGTTTTCTGTTCCGGTATTAGTTTGCTGAGAATGATGGTTTCCAGCTTCATCCATGTCCCTGCAAAGGACATGAACTCATTCTTTTTATAGCTGCATAGTATCCCATGGTGTATATGTGCCACATTTTCTTTATCTAGTTTAACAATATTGGCAAACCGAATCTAGCAGCATATTAAAAAGTTTATCCACCATGATCAGGTCAGGTTCATCCTTGGGATGCAAGGCTGGTTCAATATATGTGAATCAGTAAAGATAATCTATCACATAAACTGAACCAATGAAAAAAAACCGCATGATAACCTCAATAGATGCAGCAAAGGCCTTCAATAAAATTGAATACCCCTGCATGATAAAAACACTCAATAAACTAGGTTTTTATGAAACATATCTCAAAATTTCACCTTTTAGATTTGTTACATGGGTATATTGTATGACAGTGAGGCTTGGGGTACAAATGATCTCGTCACCCGGGTAGTGCGCATGGTACTCAGCAAGCAGTTTTTCAGCTCTTGCCCTCTTCCCTGTCTTCCCCCTCTAGTAGTCTCCAGGTTTGCTGTTCCCATCATTAGGTCCATGTGTATCCAGTGACAAGCCCCTGCTTAGTAAGTGACAACATGCAGTATTTAGTTTTCTGTTCCTGTGTTAATTCACTTAGGATAATGGCCTCCAGCTGCATACCTGTTGCTGCAAAGGACATGGTTTCATTATTTTAAAATGCTCTGAGAATCACAGTGCTAGAGGTGTCTTTTTAAGGTCTTGAAATACATTGTCTTCCAATATCTGTTTATATCTGTATGTGGTACCTAATCAGATCAAAAAATATTTCAATAAGAGAGCTTGCTTTTGCTACATAACGTTCCTTCCTTAATGCCCCGTAGCAAGAGTGACTGCTACCTTTAAAGATTTATCTAACATATACAGTTGTTTTTGTTCCAAAATGTCTATTTCTACTGCTTATAAACTATGGCTATGTTGGGTTTTTAGAACTTGACTTCTCTTAATACAAGTATAGCTTATTAATTTAAAATGACTTCAGACAGCTCATCAAAATTGACTTTGAAAAATGTCTGGTTGTAACGCAAAGTGACAGAACCTTCCATAATTTAGAAATTAGAAAGTACTAAAGAGATGGATAAAAGTACAGTACTGAAGTTGTAGACAGAAATAAAATTAATTTATTGGCCTTCTAGTTCTTTCCAGAGGAAATGCACTATGTATCATAATACAAGGAATTATTTTATTCCTGAAATAATTAGAACCAGATTAAAAACCTAATAATGTTTTACCATAATTTTCAATTATCTTAGTGTTATGCTTTAATTTTTTTTTTTAGATTCTTTGGCCTCAGAGCAAAAAATTTGGTCTATTAATTTGAAATTATTGACAGAAGTAGCATTAAGGAAGTTTTGGAAAATTGTCTTTAAAAATATAAACTGTGCCATAAGTGTGCTTAAAGAAAGAACCAGAGGGAGGAAAGCAACCAGAAGTAGCTTTCTTATATTCCTCAGGACCTAGCAATCTCACATCTCTTCTTTGAACTACCCTTCTGGTAAATGGGAAAAAAAATCCAGATTGAGCCAGAGAACAAAAAGGAGAGAGCAGCCATGACCAGAACCCTCTCATATAAACAGGATAAAAAGAGGGAAAAGTAAAGGGCCGAGATACACTCTGCCATGAAGTGGAATATATAGTAAGGTACATTAATGCCAAAGTCCCCTACTATGTCAAAGAGGGAAATGGTTACTTTCCTGTTTATAACCCTTTTATTAAGTCATCACCAGTGAAGGAGCTTTAGAAAGTTATTGTACCAAAAAGTGGGATCTGAACAACATGATGTGAGATCATACTGAATGACTGGATAGCCACTTGTGTCTATAACATGCATACCATTGAACAAGAAGCAATTGTGGACCGAGTGAAGAAAACATGTATAAAAAAGGCTATTGAGTATTCCCATTATATCACCCATGAGTAAGTCACAGAAAAACAAATTTCAAAAGCTTTCTGTTTCTAATAAATGAATCCAGGGTCCTTCAGACTGAGTGATTAGAGTTTGAATGACATGTTGAATGTGTAATTTGTTCTGAAGTGGCATTTCACAATCTTAAGGGCTTATGGCTGCACTCAATTGTATTCAAGAATGTAAAAATACTTCTCTGATCCCAGATGAAATGTTTTATTAACTGCTTAGGAAGAACTTGGATATTTCCCAGTTTTATAATATTTCCATTCATTTTTCTGCTCTGGATCACATAAAGCATTTCTGATTTTTATTAACATTTTAAATTATAACCAATTTCTTTTCCTGAAAGAGTCCTAGAACATTTTATCATGCAGAATTTTCTGGGAAGTAAAAATATAGACTATTTTTACAAGATTTTTTCCTCTTTTATTTATAAATACAAAAACTAAAAAAAAATGATGTCAAATGGAACATATTGAGGACACTACAGATCACTGATCTGCTTGCAGGCTAGTTAGATGCCAATTCCGATGGAATAGCTGGGAGATTGCTTGGAACTGCATATTCTCAGATTATAGGAAAGTTGTAGGTCATATTAGCTAAAAGCATAGCTCTGTAGTCAGGTAAATGTGGATTTCAGCCCAATTTAGCTACTTAATAGATGAATGATATTTGCCAAGTCTGTTAGCTTTTCTACACCTCAGCTCTTTTACCTGTAAAATGTATATAACCCATAACCTGTCCTATGGGTTATAGTGAGGTCCAAATGAAATAAATGCATGTAAAGCACCAAGCAGTGCTTACACTATACTAAGCAACTGAAAAAATGTTATGAAGAATATTAATAAAATTATTATGACATGTCAATATTATACATCATGTTAAAGGTGGCTTTTACAGAAATTATCAAACTCCCAATCTATATTAAGAACACTTGATTTTTATGGAAAAAATATCAGATTGAATAAAGTCACATTTTAGAAATAAATTATCTCGTAACAATGTAATAACATTAATATTATGCAACATGCATTGTTTATTTACTATGTGCCAGACTTGATGCTAAATGTTTTACATACATTGTTACCTTTCTACTGCAACAAGCCTTTGAGGTATTGGAATTATCTCAGTATTTCATATAAGAAAATTTGAGAGGCCGGGCGCGGTGGCTCAAGCCTGTAATTCCAGCACTTTGGGAGGCCGAGGCGGGTGGATCATGAGGTTAAGAGATAGAGACCATCATGGTCAACATGGTGAAACCCCGTCTCTACTAAAAATACAAAAAATTAGCTGGGCATGATGGCGCATGCCTGTAATCCCGACTACTCAGGAGGCTGAGGGAGGAGAATTGCCTGAACCCAGGAGGCAGAGATTGTGGTGAGCTGAGATGGTGCCATTGCACTCCAGCCTGGGTAACAAGAGAGAAACTCCGTCTCAAAAAAAAAGAAAGAAAGAAAAAGAAAATTTGAGGTTCAGTTTCCAAAGTGGGAAATGTAGAACTAGCCATAATATTAAACAAGATATTAAAAATGTTTAATAGCATTATCCTATAAAAATTTAATTCACTGGTTATAAAGTTAATAATCAGTTGCTAATTATAGAGAGCACAAGAAGGTATCGCTGTTCCAATAGAGAAACACCCAGCAACATAAAATTCTTGTCTTTGACTATATTTAGGGATAATTGAAATAATAATAAAAATGATGATAGCAGTCACATAAAATGTTTATTAAGCATCAACTATGCACCAGACATATGTTAAGTACCATGATGAATTCTCAAGTTTAATCCTCATTGAGGAGTTCCAGCTGCAGAGATTGACCTATACTCACTGAGGTCTGATTTCATAATGTTGAAGAAGAGAATCCATGATTTACCACTTTACTTCCTTGTTCTGGAGGTTCAGTGCTGAAACTGTATCATTCTATTGGTCACATGGTTTGCAGGTGAAACTTTCTTATGATTGTCAACTACTGGCAGCACCTCAGGAAGATAATTATACAAATATTAAAAAACATTTGCCACATTTAAAATGACAGTCATAATTCATCTCTGTAACTAGTTAAAATGTTGATTGACAACTGTACAAAGCACTGAAGATAAAGACTTTTAATAAATACAAATGTAATGTCTATCTTCATGAAGCTAATGGCCTAATGGATAGGCTATCAAATTATCATAAACACTAAATTGCATCTCAAGGACAATAAATTATGTGTTTTTTGCTGTTATGAAATAGGAAACACAAAATACCAGATACGATATATTCTTCTCAAAATCTGAGCTAACTCTAATAAGCATTTTCATCCGATTGCTTTTTTTTCTGGAGACTATGAGAGAGAGGAATACATTAAATTACATTGAAATAATATAATCTGACAAATCAAGAATGTGACTTTAAAGTAATTTATCTTTGAAAAATAAATTATGTTATGGAAAATTATGGAAAACATAAAATTACAAGATAATTGATAAAACTGCCAAGTGAATAAAATGTGTGGGCCTTGTTTATATTTTGATTAGACTAAATCAACTATAATGATGTTTTTGAACAATGAATTGGGTATTGGCTAGTATTAAGGAATTACTAATTTTGCTAATTGTGATCATGGTGTTGTGATTTATAGTTTTAATATTTTATCTGAAAAATGTGACGTCAATTTTTATCCCTGAAAATTTATTTAAAATAAATATTTCAGAAAATAAGTAGAGCAAAAAATAAATGATAAAGGAAGAATGGAATGTTAGTAATTGTTGAAGCTGGATTTTGACTACTTGGTGGTTCACTCTATTATTCTCTACTTTAATAAATAAAAGAAAATGGGCAAGTGGAACAAAGCTGAGAGACATGGGCCTTTTATAAAGGATTTTGAGGGCCTTTTATAAAGGATTCTCTGAGTCAGAAAAGGTTTCTATGAGAAACTGACACTTGAGCTGAGATGTGAAGAATGTGTCCAGGCTAAATACAGGGAGTGGGCAGGGTGAGTCAGAGAATTAAAAAGGCCAGCATGGCTACAGGAGAGTAACTCTGAGTCCGAGATGAACTTGTCAGATATTCATAGGTAAATGCGAGAGATGTGACTAAGTCTTTCCTTTTTAGTGCCTTCCCTCCAAAAAATATTTAAACTAGTTTGAGGAAGAAGAGTCCTAGCCTCCTTTCCCAGTTTAATTTTTAATATTGGATTGTCAGAAGTTCAGGCATATGACCTTATTAGCTCTTAAATAGCCAATAGAGGAAGGGTGTTGAGTAACAATCCTCTCAATTTTCATTGTAAAATAGCTATATCCTTAGTATTTGGCCAATATGTGGACATTAATTTAACATTTATAAGAAGCTCGATCAAGGTAAATATATTACAAGACAGACACAAGGTTCATTAATTTTATATTCTAAAATATATCCATAGTTGAAGCCAAATTAGTAGAGAATTGAGCACTGACTACATCAGCAACGACATTGTTACCACCTACTTTATGCCCCATTCTCCACCCTGCAGAGTTATCTTTACTGAATTGCTTCTTAATGTAGTTTCATCAAATATTGTTCCTAACCGAAATAGCTCTATAAAGAGTAATTAATTCCTCTCCATTAAGGACATACTCAAGGATAATATTCACTATGCCACACAGTATCATCTTTATGAGATATACATATGGTAACTCACTGTCAGATCTTAATGACATAATAATTACTTCTAATCTCATGAAAATTTTGAATTGCATAAATTTTAACTTACATTTTATATAATCTTACACTTCAGCTAAAAATAGTTTCTGGAATAAGAATAGTTTAAACAAAAACTCTAACCTTACATCCTGAACTTTTTTGAGACAGAGTCTCTCTCTGTCGCCAGGCTGGAGTGCAGTGGCATGTTCTTGGCTCACTGCAACCCCCACCTCCTGAGTTCAAACCATTCTCCTGCCTCAGACTCCCAAGTAGCTGGGATTACAGGTGTGCACCACCACACCTGGCTAATTTTGTATTTTTGTAGAGATGGAGTCTCACCATTTTGGCCATGATGGTTTCGATCTTGAGGATTCCAGCACTCGGGATCTCACAGTGCTGGAATTGCAGGTGTGAGCCACTGCACCAGCCTTTTTTATTTTATTTTTTAGACCCAGTCTCACTGTTTCCCAGTCTGGAGTGTGGTGGCATGATCTCCACTCTCTGCAACCTCCGCCCACTGGGTTCAAGTAATTCTCCTGCCTTAGCCTCCCTAGTAACTGGGATTACAGGCGTGTGCTACCACGTCTGGCTAATTTTTGGATTTTTAGTAGAGACAGGGTTTCACCATGTTGGCCAGGCTGATCTCAAACTCCTGACCTCAAGTGATCTGCCCGCCTTGGCCTCCCAAAGTTCTGGGATTACAGGCTGTGCCCATCCACATCCTGAACTTTTAGCTTACTGTTGTTGTTCTTTTTAATTTCTTTTTTTTGGTCAAGTTTTATTTTAGATTTGGGGGTACATGGGCAGGTTTGTTACATGGGCAAATTGCATGTCACTGAAGTTTGGTGTACGAGTGGTCCCGTCACCCAAGTAGTGAGCGTAGTGCCTGATAGATAGTCCTTCAACCCTCACCTGCCCCCTGCCTTTCCCCTCTAGTAGTCCCCAGTGGCTGGTATCTGTTTTTCCCATTGTACTGTCCGTGTGTACACAAAGTTTAGCTGCACTTGTAAGTGAGAATTTATGGTATTTGGTTTTCTGTTTCTGCATTAACTGGCTTAGGATAATGGCCTCCAGCTGCATCCATGTTCATCCAGCTGCAAAGGATATGATTTTGTTCTTTTTTATAGTGGCATAGTATTCCAGGGTACTACACTTTCTTTACTTAGTCTACTGTTTATGGGCATCTAGGTTGATTCCATGTCCTTGCTGTTGTGAATAGTGCTGTGATGAACATACAAGTGAATATGTCTTTTTGGTAGAATAATTTATATTCCTTTGGGTATATACTCAGGATTGGGCCGGCTGGGTCTAATGGTAACTCTGTTTTAAGTTATCTGAGAAATCTCCAAATTGCTTTCCACAGTGGCTGAAGTTACATTCCTACCAGCAGTGTACAAGCATTCCCATTTCTCCACAACTCACCAACATCTGTTATTATTATTTTTTATCTTTTTAGTAATAGCCCTTCTGATGGGTGTGAGATGATTTCTTATTCTGGTTTTGACTTTAATTTTTCTAGTGATTACTGAGGTTGAGCATTTTATCATATATTTGTTGACTGCAGTATGCCTTCTTTTGGGAAGTGTCTGTTCATGTCCTTTACCCACTGGAAGAAAAAAGAGGGACTGGAGCTCTGTAGACCTGCAGTCTGTTATTGGTCTGATGAACCCAGCATGCAGTATAATTGGCTTTATCCTCCTCTAGCTTTAGTATATGTGAATTTACAGGGGACTTGACTGACAGTGAGATAATACCATGATTTCCATGGTAACTATTATGTCACTTCAGATATACCACAGCAGAACTGGCCAACCAGAATGTCGGGTTGGGTTATTGGCAAGCCTCAACAATTAACTCCGTCAGTGCTGGGCAGTGGCAGACCCTATGTCAGTTAACTTTATTCAAGAGCAGTCTTTACCTATTTACCCCAAGTTAACAAATATAGAAACATTTTCATACTTTGCATGAGTCAAATGTAAAAACAGTTGGGGATCAGTATAGTGTAATATCATCCACCCATTGTCTGGTCCTTAAAATTTAAATTCAAATATGGTTTTACATCTGATCACTAGAAATATCTATGGCCATACTCCTCAAAGTTATGAATGCACAGAACTTGTAATATCTACTTCAAAGCCTAGGAGTTTTAAGTACCTTACCAATGCAAGATCAGTATAGCTGAAGATCTCTTAAAACCATTATTCAGCAGACATTATAAACAGAAAGAAGGAATTTCCTTACAGAATTATGTCTGTCCTACTCATTTAATATTATACATCATCTAAGATAACCCTTTTAAATACATTCCATTGCTTGTTATTCTTCAAGACTTATTTTATCACAATGCCAAATAATTTTTTATTTTATCAAGAGCATTTACAAAGTTATAAAGTTAAAATATCCTAATAAAATTTAAGATGTTAGGAAAATACTTTCTTATTACTTAGTAGTATGTTTCCTGATAAAATATTTTACAGTAATCCTAAACTATGTACTGAATTATTTGTCAAATATGGATCATATCACAATCTGGTCTTTAGTCTTTTTATATTTAGCCTCAAACCTCACTGTATAAAATTTTATTTAATTTTAAGAATTTGTAAATCAGTTTAATACTGCATAGAGTATAATGATTAGCAAGTGATAGAACCCAAAAATGCTTCTGGAATAGTATTAGTGGGAATGTAAATTAGCACAGCTACTATGGAGAGAGTATGGAGGCTCCTCAGAAAACTAGAAATAGAGCTACCATATGTTCCAGGGATCCCACTGCAGAGTGTGTACTCGAGAAAGAAAGGCAACATATTGAAGAAATATCTGCACTCCTGTGTTTACTGCAGTACTATTCACAACAGCCGAGGATAGATAAGGAAAATGTGGTATATACACAATGAAATAGTATTCAGCCATCAAAAAGAATAAAGCCTTGTCATTTGCAGCAACATGGATGAAACTTGAAGTTATGTGAAGTGAAATAAGCTAGGCATAGAAAGACCAACTTCATGTGTTTTCAGTCATACGTGGGAGCTAAAAACATGTATCTTACTGAAGTAAATAGTTTGTTGGTGGTTATCAGGGGCTGCAAAGAGTATGTATGAAAGGATATGAAGAGAGGTTAGCTAATGGGTACAAAAATATGGTTAAATAGGAGGAATAAAGTCTAGTATTCAATACTATGGTAGGGTGAGTCTAGTTAACAATTTATTATATAGTTAAGAGCTATAGGAGAAGAATTGGAATGTTATTGATATAAAGAAAAGATAAATGTTTCAGATAATATGTATTCCAATTAACCTGACTTGATCATTGTACATTGTGTGCATGTGTGAAAATACCACATACACCCCCCAGATAGGTACAATGATTATCTATCAACTTAATAAAAATGAAAGGCTCGTGGAGAATAACTGGCATTTTTAGCAAGGCTGTACACCTTCTTATAGTTTTGGACCTGCAAAGAGAGGAAGCAAATATTAAACCATGAAATTCCTTTTCAGGCCAAGGCCATACAAATAGAAATGAAGAAAAGGTCACCAGCATCCACGGACACATCGTTGGATGTGTTGGAAGATGCTACTCTCAGACATAAGGAAGGTAAAGTACTAAATAGTTAAACACTCACTATGGAATGTACTACTCGTAAAATTCACTTTTAAAGAAATTCAGCAATTTCTTCAGAATCTTAGATGGTAATAACAAAAATTTAAGGAATATTTGAGCATATTAGGATAAACCATGCATAAAAATTTCAGAATCATGGTGTTTTAAACATCGGAAAAAGTGATCGAAGAGCACCAAGTAATTTTCTTTAACATTAAAAACATATTGAAGTATTAACTCCTGACTAAATATAAAGATTGTGGTATATAACATTAATATCTCAAGGTTCTTTCTAGACTTATCTCTATATTTTTATATGTAGCCAAAAATTATGATGTACAATATCAAAAGGCATTAATTCATAAAGCATGTAAATCAAGACATTGTAAGTCACAATGTTCTCATATTTTTTTCTTGAGAGATGCCCCTATATTTTTCTTCTAATATGCAATTTGCTTTATTTTCTTTCGTCTAACTCAACCAAACATGAACACAATAGAGGAAATTTACTTCATTCACCTTTTTTTTTTCACCCACAGTTTATTTTTTATTTAATTAGACTTTAAGTTCTGGGATACATGAGCAGAATGTGCAGGTTTCCTACATACGTATACATGTACCATGGTGATCTGCTGCACTTATCAACCCATCATCCAGGTCTTAAGCCCCACATGCATTACACCCTTGTCCCAGTCCTCTCCCTCCCCCTTCCTCCCATGCCTTGACAGGACCCAGGTGTCTGATGCTCCTCTCCCTGCTTCCAGATGTTCTCATTGTTCAATTCCCACCCATGAGTAAGAATATGTGATGTTTGGTTTCCTGTTCCTGTTTTAGTTTGTTGAGAATGATGGTTCCAGCTTCATCCATGTTCCTGCAAAGGACATGAATTCATTCTATTTTTTTATGGCTGCATAGTAATCCATGGTGCATATGAACCACATTTTCTTTATCCAGTCTATCGTTGATGGGCATTTGGGTCGATTCCAAGTCTTTGCTATTGTGAACAGTGCTGCAGTGAACATATGTGTGCATGTATCTTTATGGTAGAGTGATTCATAATCCCTTGGCTATATACCTAGTAATGAGATTGCTGAGTCAAATGGTATTCCTGCTTCTAGATCCTTGAGGAATCACCACACTGTCTTCCAAATTGCTTGAACTAATTTACATTCCCACCAACAGTGTGAAAGCATCCTGTTTCTCCACATTCTTGCCAGCATCTGTTGTTTCCTGACATTTTAATGATCGCCATTAAAAAGATCATTTTCTTACCTTGTGAGATGGTATCTCTATGTGGTTTTGATCTGCATTTCTCTAATGACCAGTGATGATGAGCATTTTTTCATATGTCTGTTGGCAGCATAAATGTCTTCTTTTGAGAAGTGTCTGTTCATATCCTTCTTCCACTTTTTGATGGGGTTGTTTTTTTCTTGTAAATTTGTTTAAGTTCCTTGTATACAGATTCTTGACATTAGACCTTTGCCAGATGGATAGATTGCAAGAATATTCTCCCATTCTGTTGGTTGCCTATTCACTCTGATGATAGTTTCTTTTGCTGCGCAGAAGCTCTTTAGTTTAATTAGATCCCATTTGTCAATTTTGGATTTGGTTACAATTGCTTTTGGTGTTTTAGTCATGAAACATTTGCCCATGCCTATATCCTGAATGATATTGCCTAGGTTTTCTTCTAGGGATTTTATGGTTTTAGGTTTCACATTTAAGTCAAATTCCATCTTGAGTTAATTTTTGTATAAGGTGTATGGAAGGGATCCAGTTTCACTTTTATGCCTATGGCTAGCCAGTTTTCCAAGCACCATTTATTAAATAGGGAATCCTTTCCCCATTGCTTGTTTTTGTTGAATCCAGCAGCACATCCAAAAGCTTATTCACCAGGATCAAGTCAGTTTCATCCCAGGAATGCAAGGCTGTGGTGAGTTGTCTTGCGCTGAGATGATTAATGACATGGACACACATGTGGAATGGGTAAAGGAGCCAAAAGTTTAACAGACAAAAAAGAAGAATGAGAGAGAGAAAGCTTCCTCATGCTGAGAAAGCAGGTCGCCCAAGAGAGAGTTTCTCTTTATTCAGGTTTTTATTAGGGTAGAATATTTCTGTTTTTGAATTCCTTATCAGAATTCTAGCTTCAAATCTCCCTTTGCATGCTAAAGTTGCCTCTGCTTGCCAAAGCGCTGGGATTACTGGCATGAGCCACTGCACCTGGCTGGAATATTTAACTTCTATTCTTTCTTTTCAGAACTTGAAAAATCCAAGAAGATATGCCCATTATGTTGGTATAAGTTTGCTGAAACATTCTTGATCTGGAATTGTTCTCCCTGTTGGTTAAAATTGAAAGAATTTGTCCATAGGATTATAACAGCACCATTCACTGATCTTTTCCTTTTCATATGCATAATTTTAAACGTAAGCTTTTTGGCCTTGGAGCATTATCCAATGAGTGAACAAACTAGCAATCTTCTCAGCACTGGAAACCTGGTAAGACTCTCATTGCATATTATTTTCACTTGTAGTTTCATATTTATCATTGAACTTTTCTTTGTTCATCATTATTCCCGTTATTTTATTCTGTAACTCCAATATGTTGCAATATGCATAATTATTGAATGACTCATTATGTTTATGTTTTATCTCTCCAACCCCTACTTTGTAAATATTATCATTAAATAGTTTTACAGCTAGAATTTAAAATTTTCCAATTTTAATTTGAGGTTCCTAGCCACCTGCTTAGCAGTTGCATTACATGGAAATTATTTATTGCCACTTCCTTCCCAAGTATACAGTCTCTTGGTACCATTAGCTCATAGATCAGAATAGGGAAGAGGTGAAATAACAAGCACCTCTCACCTGAATTCTTAATTCTGATTAAAATGACAGTTGACCCTGTCTGTTCTAACCATGTATCTTTGCCCAGGATTAGAAATTATCATTTTAGCATGGTATTTTTGAAATTCACCTGTCCTTTTTCACATACAATGCAAAAGAGAAAACGTATTTCTGTGAGTTTCAGAATAAGTCATATTCAAGCAAATGTATATTGTTTAGATGTCTTTGCTTTCACTGTTTTTGTTGTTTAGTTGCTTGGTACTAATACAAACAGCCAAATGGCTACCAGTTTCAAATTATATACTTATTTGAACCAAAAGAGTAATTTAGTGATTTCCGCCAGTACAGTAGGACAATTTCCATAGGTTTACACTAGGTTTTTTCAGAGGTTGAAAAATCAAATATTGCATCATATACTCCATATCTTGAAAATAACTATTCAAAATGGAAAGATCTTCACTCTCAAATATTCTTTTGCTTTCCTCAAGGATGAAGTTTATTAAAATAATAAAAGATTCTGTATATAGTATTTGATGTTAGATTGTTAAATAAAATATATGAGTCTGTTCTTATAATGCAGACTCCATAACTAACCAGATCTTGACAGAGGAGCTGTGAAGAACGTGACAGTGACAAGTAAATAGTGTGTGTTACAGATTTTGTGTGTGAAGGTGCTGATACAGCTATTGGAGTCATATTCTCACCCATGTGTTTGGTTTTAATTTAGGTTTTCATTGGAATTTTCACAGCAGAAATGATTTTAAAAATAATTGCAATGCATCCATATGGGTATTTCCAAGTAGGTTGGAACATTTTTGATAGCATAATAGTCTTCCTTGGTTTAGCAGAACTTTTTTTAGCGTATATTGAAGGACTGGCTGTTTTTCAATCATTCAGGATGGTAAGTAGAATTCAATACCTAATTCTTATTTGATCAAAGTTTATCTCAGTTTCTGTAGACATAAAATGAGGCAACAGTAATACCTATCTCGTTGAGACATTGGAAGTATTAAATGAATTAATTCATATATAGAGTCTGTTGCCAAGGAAAGAGTAAGCAGTCTCCAATGCTGTTATTTGACCATAGCATTAAAGAAAATAATGCTATATATGCAGCAAATTTGAGATTCAGTTTTAGGAAGCAAGGTCAGGATAACTGAGGACATTTTGAAAAGCAGGAAAAGGAGGAGTTTCCAAAGTAGAATGCTAATATGTCACCAAAAGCTGAAATAAGGTGAGTATTTTTAAATGTCAGATATCAAGGAAGACCAGTCAGGCCAGCAGAACGTTATTATGATAATTATTAGGTCAATAGTAGGGTATGTCTATAGGATAGGGTAGTGGTGAGACTCAGAAAATTAAACAAAGGAATAATATTATTAGAATAATGTTTATTTAAATGGTAAGATTTAGATAAGTTTACATTATCACATTCTGGCTACAAGTTGAAGGAATGTAGAAGGAATTAAGAACAGTTAAGTCCATTTGATCTTATTCTGATGGTTACTTCCTAGAGGGCAGCACATTCAGAATCCTGTCTTTTTTTTTTTTTCACTTTACATGTGCAGATCTTGAAGGATTGTTACATAGGTATACACATGCCATGGTGGTTTGCTGTCTCCATCCCCCATCACCTACATTATGTATTTCTCCTAATGTTATCCCTCTCCAAACTCTCACCTCCTGCTATCCCTCCCCTAAAACCTCACCCCCAAAGAGACGCTGGTGTGTGATGTTCCCCTCCCTGTGTCTATGTGTTCTCATTGTTCAACACCCACTTATGAGGAAGAACATGTTGTGTTTGGTTTTCTGTTCTTGTGTCAGTTTGCTGAGAATGATGGTTTCCAGATTCATCTATGTCCCTGCAAAGGACATGAGCTCATCCTTTTTTATGTCTACATAGTATTCCATAGCGCATTTGTGCCACATTTTCTTTATCCAGGCTATCGTTGGTGGACATCTGGGTTGGGCATTGTAAACATTGCCACAATGAACATATGTGTGTGTGTGTCTTTATGATAGAATGATTTATAATTCTTTGGGTACATACCCAGCAATAGGATTGCTAGGTCCAATGGTATTTCTGTTTCTAGATCCTTGAGGAATTTCCACACGTCTTCTATAATGTTCCACAGTGGTTGAACTAACTTACACTCCCATCAACAGTGTAAAAGTATTCCTATTTCTTCACATCCTCTCCAGCATCTATTTTCTCCAGATTTTTTGATGATTGTCATTCTAACTGGCATGAGATGGTATCTCAATGTGGTTTTGATTTGAATTTCTCTAATGACCAGTGATGATGAACAATTTTTCATGTTTGTTGGCTGCATAAATGTCTTCTTTTGAAAAGTGTCTGTTTATATTCTTCACCCACTTTTTGAATGGGTTGTTTTTTTCTTGTATATTTGTTTTAGTTCTTTGTAGGTTCTGGATATTAGCCCTTTGTCTGATGGGTAGCTTGCACACATATTTTCCCATTCTGTTGGTTGCCAGTTCACTCTAATGATTGTTTCTTTTGCTGTGCAGAAGCTCTTAAGTTTAATTATATCCCATTTATTTATGTTGGCTTTTGTTGCCATTGCTTTTTGTGTTTTAGCCATGAAGTTCTTGCCTGTGTCTATGTCCTGATGGTATTGCCTAGGTTTTCTTCTAGGGTTTTTATGGTGTTAGGTTTTATGTTTAAATCTCTAATCCGTCAGGAGTTAATTTTTGTATCAGGTATAAGGAAGGGGTCCAGTTTCAGCTTTTTGCACATGGCTAGCCAGTTTTTCCAACATTATTTATTAAACAGGAAATCCTTTGTTTTTGTCAGGTTTGTCAAAGATCAGATGGTTGTAGGCATGTGGCATTACTTCTGAGGCCTCTGTTCATCTCCATTGGTCTATGTCTCTGCTTTGGTACCAGTACCATGCTGTTTTGATTACTGTAGCCTTTTAGTATAGTTTGAAATCAGATAGTGTGATGCCTCCAGTTTTGTTATTTTTGCTTTTGATTGCCTTGGCTATTTGGGCTCTTTTTTTGTTCCATATGAAGTTTAAGGTAGTTTTTTCCAGTTCTGTGAAGAAGGTCCTGTCTAAATCCTCACTCATAACCTTTTTTAATGAATAAGAGAAATATATACAGGATATTGGCACCAAATTTATGGATGAAATAACAATGGCAAATGCAAAAATATGTGCTAAAAGATAGTATCAAAATATCTTAAAGGCTAGTAATGGACTGAATATAAGATGATTAAATTTTTCAGGGATAAATATAAGGTCTTACTTTTGAGTCCAGAAAGATAATTGTGCACTAGAAAAAGTCAGTAAGCGAGGCCAGAAATTGGGAACCAGCCTTGGCAGCATAGTGAGACTCCTTTTCTAAAAGAATTTAACAAAAAATAGTCATAGTGGTAGTTCATGTCTGTAGTCCTAGCTACTCAGGAGGCTAAGGCAGGAGGATCACTTGAGCCCAGGGGTTGGAGGTTGCAATGGACCATGATAGTGCTACTGCACTTCCATCTGGGTGTCAGAGAAAGACTCTGTCAAACAAACAAACAACAATTGAAAAGAAAGTGTCAGGAAAGTGTAGCTTATATAAATTTACCATCATATAGTGGCCAAAAGTATTAAAGCAATCTTGTTTTGTATAAACAGAAATTTAAAAATATCTAGTGAAAGGAAAAGGACTATTCAAACTAAACCTAGAATGTTGTATTTGGTCTTTGATACATTATTTTAAAAAGGAAATACACGATAGGCCCTCCACTGGAATCCTTTGGATACTGAAAGACTTTCAATATCATTTTTATGTCAACACATGGGAAAAAAATGTGGGAAAATATTCAATATGTTGTGAAAAGCAAAAACAAATATCTTATCCTAACAGATATTAAAATATAAAGCAAGAGGAATTGTAAAAGTATAATGTTTAATGGGAATTGATGAATACATCAGTAGAAGAGGACATGTATAGATTGAGTATACAAAATTATAGAATATATGGAAGATGTATTAAGAACTGTACATAAAATGAATGTTCAGTAGCTGTTATTAATAATGCTTAAATTTTTAAAGGCTATATATGTCTATGTGTATAACGCTGTACATTGTAATAAATACTGATCAGGTTTTGTCATTTGTTTCTTGTTCTTGCTTTCACATTGTTCTGTTAGTTGAGAATTTTCAAGTTGGGGAAGTATTGGCCAACGTTCCAGATTTTAATGTGGTCTCTTAGTAACTCATGGGTGGCCCTGAAAGACTTGGTCCTGTTGTTGTTCACGTTCATCTTCTTTTCTGCTGCATTCGGCATGAGGCTGTTTGGTCAGAATTATGAAAAATTTGTCTGTCACATAGACAGAGACTGTCAACTCCCACGCTGGCACATGCATGACTTTTTCCACTCCTTCCTGAATGTGTTCCGAATTATCTGTGGAGAGTGGATAGAGACCTTGTGGGACTGTATGCAGGTCGCAGGCCAATCCTGGTGTATTTCTTTTTACCTGATGGTCATTTTAATTGGAAATTTACTGGTAAGTAGTCAATTCTTTTATATTTTCCTTGAAAACTGGTATAAGGTAGTTTGGTGTTTTCATAATGTGCATGGATGGGATCTAATGATCTGTAACTGTGGTAATCCAATAGAGTAACCATTACCTACATGTATGAATAGTCCCATTTGAAATGTGTTGTAAATATTAAATATGCACAGATTTGCTGTCTTACACATAAAATGATGTAAACTATTTCATTAATGATTTTAATGGAATGCATTTTTAAATGATAATACAGTAGTCCCTCCTTATCCTCAGTTGTTCTATATGTGGTTTTAGTTGCCTGTGGTTAACATGGTCTGAAAATATCCAGTGGAAAATCCCAGAAATAAACAACTCATAAGTTTTAATTTGAATGCCATTCTGGGTAGTGTAATGGAATCTGTCCTGTCCTAGGCATGAAACATCCATTTGTCTAGCATATTCATGCTGTATATGCTACCTATTGTTCATTTAGTAACTCTCTGGGCTATATTTAGTTAAATATATTTAGTTAAATACAAATATGTTTATATTTATTGCATACTAATTGTATGTTGTATTTAACTAAATATATTTGTTAAATATATTAGTAAAATTAATTTTACCTGTTTTGTTTTCATGCTTTCTTAAAATTACATATGTGATTACATCATATTTCCATTGAACAGCATTAGCTTAAACTTTGTTATTCAATGTAATATTGGCATCATGTGGGAAGTGGTTAGAAATGCAGACTCTCAGACCCCAATCCAAGACCTATGCAAGCATACTCTACATTGTAACAAATTCCCAGTGATTTGTGTGCCGATTAAATTTCAAGAAGCACTTAAATATAACAATGCTGTCAGTCTTTACCTGGCATTGGAATTACCTGGGGAATTAATAAAAATATGCTGATGCCTAGAACCATTCTTAGAGATTCTAATTTTATTTGTATATGGACATGACCTGGTCATCAGGATTTTCAGTTGATTAAATTCTGTAGTCAAGATTGAAAATCACTAGTCTATAAAAATGTTATGCATTAACTAAGAGAGAAAGCTTTTATTTTTAATTTTTCTAATAACTGAAGTGGTTTTAATGAATTAAATAAGTAGCTTTCACTGCATCTATGGAAAAGACAGGGCTTATAAAAGAAAATGGTTCTTACAGGAATACAAGACTTAGTATTAGCTTTTTATTCATATGTCATAAAGATCAAGTACATTTCCCAAAAGACTGAAAAAAATCACAGGTTAGACTCAATTTTACTTGTGCCCATCCACATTGCTTGTGTTTCACCTTGGGAAGAACCTTGTCATACACTTAACACATTGGCATCGTATTTAATTGTTAGTGTACTTCTCTATCTTCTTTATTAAACTGTAAGCACCATGAGGGAAAGGACCATAACTCTCCTCTTTATTATAAAACCTGGAACAGGGCCCAACATGTAAAAAATACTTCATTATCTGCTGCCCTTTGTAGTTATAGTAGTACACTTTTAACTCCCATGATATAAAACACCACTCTAACTGGCTGAAACAAAAAATGATCATATATATCAGTATATATAACTCATAACTCAAAATATCAAAAATATTTGCTTCAGTTTTGGTGTGGCACATATGATCAAATGGGATCATTACAGAGAGGTATTTGTAGATTTCAGTTCTGTCTTTCTCTGTGCTTCTTGCTAGCTAATATTCTCTGTTTATCAAGATGGCTGCTGCAGTCTAAAGCCTCATATCTTTGTATTATATTGAGTCTAATAGAGGAAAGTATTTCTTTTCTAGAAGCCACAGACAATTTTTCCTATTGTCTCAATACCCAAATCACATGCCCATTAGTAACTAATCGCCATTATCCAGAATTTGGTATGCATTTATTATATTTAAAATGTTCATAGCTATCTCTTACAGCTGCAGATGGAATCAGGTCAGACCCAAATCATGTGACTAATAAGGGAAGAAAGGTAATTTCCCAAATAAATTTGTATTCCTGTCTCCAAAAGGAAGAGTTATGGCTGTTGAGGGAAGCAACAACAACACACACATATGCGTACATACCGAAGGCAAAGAAGCAGAAATACTGTGGCATTATATTATATGCATACATAATATAAATGTATATATTATATAACATAGAAATATATAACATATATAATTGCCTGAACATTACTGCTTCTTTGATTTTGAACTCCAATCTATTTCTATTTATTTGTTTGTTCCTACTAAACAGAAACTTAATCAATGTGCAGAGGGATTCCAGGATAAATGGAGTTACATGAACCTCTATTTCCAATTGAGTGACATCATATTTCTTGATTCACTAAATCCTTCCAGCTTAATTTTCCTCAGCAGTCATCCAACTGTGAGACATTTGATAATGGCAGTAGAATAAGTAGAAGGGGAAAAAATGTACGGAGAGAATCTTTAAAATTGTGTTGATCTGTTTTAACCTCCATACTTCTAATGTGGATTGGTATAAAAGGAAGGTATTTCACATTTTTAAAAAATTAATTTTGTCTTACTCTTCTAAGACAATTCAGCAGTGATTTTTAACCTTAAGCAGAAATCTTACAAAAAGTTATTATATGTCAAAGGAAATGAAGTGGCTTTTACATAGTTCTATGTCTTGTTGAATTGTAGAAAAAAGCAGAGTTCAGAATCAAGGAAACAGAGGTTCAGTTTCAGTTCTACCACTATATTAATCCATTCTCATGCTGCTAAAAACACATACCTGATACTGGGTAATTAAGAAAAGAGGTTTAATTGACTCACAGTTCCTTAGGGCTGAGGAGACCTTAGGAAACTTACAATCATGGCAGAAGGGGAAGGAGGCATCCCCTTCTTCACACGGTGGCAGCAAGGAGAAGTCCAGAGTAAAGCAGAGGAAAGCCCCTTATAAAACCATCAGGTACCCTGAGAACTCACTCACTATCATGAGAATAGCATGGAGGTAACCACCATGATTCAATTACTTCCCACCAAGTCCCTCCCATAACATTTGAGGATTATGGAAACTACAATTCAAGATGAGATTTGGGTGGAGACATAGCCAAACAATTTTATTCCATCCCTGATCCCTCCCAAATCTCATATCCTCACATTTCAAAACATGATAATCTCTTTTCAGAAGTCCCCCAAAGTCTTCATTCATCCCAGCATTAACTCAAAAGTCCAAGTCCAAAGTCTCACCTGAGATAAGGCAAGACCCTTCCACCTATAAGCCTGTAAAATCAAAAGCAAGTTCATTACTTACTAGATACAATGTGGGTAAGGCATTGGATAAATATACCCATTCCAAATGGGAGAGATTGGCCAAAACATGCCCCATGCAAGTCAGAAATCCAATAGAGCATTCATTAAACCTTAAAGTTCCAAAATGATCTCCTTTGACTCTAAGTCTCAAATCCAGGGCATGCTGATGCAAGAGTAGGCTCCCATGGCGTTGGACAGTTTCACCCCTCTGGTTTTGTAGGGTTCAGCATCAATCCCTGCTGCCTTCACAGACCAGTGTTAAGTGCCTGCAGCTTTTCCAGGAGCAGTCCAAGCTGTGAGTGGATCTACCATTATTGGAGGACAGTGGCCCTCTTCTCACAGCTCCACTAGGCAGTACCCCAGTGGGGACTCTGTGTGGTGGCTCCAACCTTACATTTCTTTTTCACATCACCATAGCAGAGGTTCTCCATGAGGGCTTTGCCCCTGTAGCAAACATCTGCCTAGACACCCTGGCATTTCCATACATCCTCTTAATCTAGGTGGAGATTGCCAAACCTCGATTCTTGACTTCCTTGCATCTGCAGGCTCAGCACCCACATGGAAGTTGCCAAGGCTTGGAGCTTGCACTCTCTGAAGTGATGACCTAAGCTATACCTTGGCCCCTTTTGACCACAGCTGAAATAGTTAGGACACTGGGTACCAGGTCCCTATGCTACACATAGCAGGGAGGTCCTGGGCCCGGATTACAAGACCATTTTTTCTTTCTAGGCCTATGCCTAGGTCTCTGACATGCCCTGGAAACATTTTCCTTGTTGCCTTGGTGATTAACATTTGGCTCCTCATTACTTGTGCAAATTTCTGCAGCCAGCTTGAATTTCTCCCCAGAAAATTGGTTCTTCTTTCTACTGCATCATTATGCTGCAAATTTTACAAACTTTTATGCTCTGCTTCTTGAACACTTTGCCGCTTGGAAATTTCTGATACCAAGAATCATCATCTCTCTCAAGTTCAAAGTTCCACAGATCTCTAGAGAAGGTGCAAAAACCCACCAATCTCTTTGCTAAATCACAGCAAGAATCACTTTTGCTCCAGTTCTCAACAAGTTCCTCATCTCCATCTGAGACCGCCTTAGCGTGGACTTTATTGTCCATGTTAAGACCATTCAACAAGTCTCTAAGAAGTTCCTGACTTTCCCACATCTTGCTATCCTCTTCTGAGCCCTCCAAATTGTTGCAACATCTGCATGTTACTCAGTTCCAAAATCGCCTCCACATTTTTGGGTATCTTTACAGCAGTGCCCTACTCTCTGCATTACCACTTTACTGTATTAGTTGATTTTCATGCTGCTAAGATATACAAGGCTGGATAATTTACAAAGGAAAGAGATTTAATTGACTCACAGTTCCACAGAGCTTGAGAAGCCTCAGATAACTTACAATCATGGTGGAAAAGAAAGCAGGCATGTCTTTCTCATTATGGCAGCAAGGAGAAGTGCAGAGTGAAGGTGGAGAAAGACCCTTATAAAACCATCAGATCTCATGAGAATTCACTATCATGAGAAGAGCATGGAGGTAACATCTCCATGATTCAGTTATCTCCCACCAGGTCCCTCCCACAACAGGTGGGAATTACGAGAACTGCAACTCAATATGAGATTTGGGTGGAAACACAGACAAACAATTTCAATCACTGAATAAATAAGTGACTTTGTGCATATTACACAGCCTCTTTAAACCTGCCTGTACCTAGTGGAGAAATGAACATAACAATACTTGTCTTATAGGCTTATTGTAACTTAAATGTAATCATGTAGCCCCCTATAAGTAATTCATAAATGTTTGTTTTCATTTCTTTAAACTCCAGAAAAATTTAACCCCTATATTTCCATCAGATTTTTGTTAGTTATTTAATATTATTAACAAGGTTATTTAGGCAAATTTTAAAGACACGATGTCATTCCAGGTGTTTTACCTGTAATTCAGGTAATTGTCATCAAGTGAAATATAGTATCTGACTCTGGTACATAAACCAAACATTGAGGGATAAAAACATGAAAATAAAAGAAAAAGAAAACAATATAAAATTCAGTTGCCTTTTCAAAATAAAAAATTTAATCACAGATACATGTTATTCCATGTATATATTTGTATGATCCCAAATTAAATATGTGTTAAGATATAATTCAAGCAATTAAAAAAAATTTTTTTTGAGATGGAGTTTCGCTCTTGTTACCCAGGCTGGAGTGCAATGGTGCTATCTTGGCTCACCGCAACCTCCACCTCCTGGGTTCAGGCAATTCTCCTGCCTCAGCCTCCTGAGTAGCTGGGATTACAGGCACGCGCCACCATGCCCAGCTAATTTTTTGTATTTTTAGTAGAGATGAGATTTCACTATGTTGACCAGGATGGTCTCGATCTCTTGACCTCGTGATCCACCCGCCTCAGCCTCCCAAAGTGCTGGGATTACAGGCTTGAGTCACCGCATCTGGCGAAATTTAAAATTAAATATCCTCAATACATGTTGAATTCCTTAATACATGTTTATTTGTTGATTATAATTCAGAAAGTAGTTATTTAAATTTTGAACTTTCTCTTTTATGCTGCTTGATTTTGCTATGAGTTGCTCAATTCACACTCAATATGTGGATATCTTTGAGGTGCAAAAAAATTCAGGGAAATTTAAAAAAATATTTTGTTTTATTCACGTTATTTCATCTTTTCTCTCAACACAAAAAATATATGTTTTTAAATCTGGTTACATATTCTGTGACTAGAATAAAGTTACTCTGAGTTTATATAATACAAATCTCTGCATTTTCTACTCTCTTTTTTGTTAATGCTCAAATTAGAAGTAGTAATCAATTCTCTGCAACTCGGGCCACTTACACAGCCTGTCTTTCCTTTTAAATACTTAAAGAGAGTAGGCTATTTTTAATTCAGAACATATCTGAACAAAGCTGTAGAAATTTTTAGTGTTATAAAATTATTTTCTTATACTACAGTTTCAGAGCACTTTTCACTTTTAAGATTAACTTCACTTTTAGGTTTTTAACATTTTCACCACATATATATGTATATATGTGTGTCTATATATATATATATATATATGAATGTATGTGTATATATTTTTGTGCATGTGTGTCTAGGATATAAGAAATCCTTGATGTAATTTTCTAAAATATGTAATTAGTATAGCATAAACTTTTTCTTGTTCAAATCCTAGCACAAAATCTGTTTTTATTCATTTTATAATTAATTTTTAAAATAAATATGTATTACTTATTTTGTGCCTAGCAGTGTGCTGGTTGTCTAACAGTAAACATGGTTTTTGTTTTTATGAAGCTATAGTCACGATACACACTAACACCCTTCCCTTATTTTACACTGTGCGAAATACTTAGACAAACAATGGAAGAAAAGGAAACATCCAACTATCTTGAATTACATCTGGTCTTACCCTCTTGTATCACGAAGCTGTGGTCTTTTGAGAATGATAGAGTTGCTAATAGTGTGGCTCCTATGGGGACCATGGAGCTCCTACATAGATTATCTATAAGTAAACCTCATTGCCAAAGAGACTCTTGTAGGAGAAGAGTTGTACTGATTTCTGAAGCTATTAGCATTTGATCATTGTCTTTTCTTTTTTTTATTTTCATCTTCTGAGAATCTTTCATTGTGGATTATAGAAAATATCCATCAGGTTTTCAGATGCTCTCATCCAAAAACATTTCCCATATTGATATATCTTGTAACCTAGAGTTCATTGCTATACCAAAACTATGGATAAGATTATCTATTCGATGACTTTGTTCACTGCAAAAATACTTTGGTTTTTCTATACAAGTCCTATTTGAGGTTTCTCTATTCCTTAAAAGAAGGAAGAGATAGGTAGAGAGAAGTAAATGTAACCCATTACAATTAAACATTATTTGGTAGGAAGTTCTAATCATTCCAGGTGTGTATGTCCATGAGCAAGACAGTAATTATCAGAGTGTTTGAGAAACTCAGCTGTTTACACTGATCTACAATTTTGAAAGAAGTTTCAAAATATGAGTCTTTGGAGATACATACTTATCTTATATATAGATAAATTATACAGTTATCCAAAATTATGATGTATGCCCTACAATTACAAACAAATTTAATATCTGATTCTCTAGAAAGTGATCAGTCCTTGATCATATTTCTAAATGATAGTAAAAGTCAAAATATTCACTTTTTTTGAGTTCAAGATAATTACAAGTAATAGGAATGATTCTTCCATCACTAGTCTGTTTCTTGTTTGACCAAATTTACTACAACAGATAATCAATGAACCTTCCTAACAACCGTGTTTGCATCTCACAAGAGCCATTAGATGTGGTATTGAGGACCATGGAGATCTCTTTCCCTGTCTAATTCTTCCTAGGTTTAAGAATTATTACATGGTTTCTTGAGACAGGACTGAAGTGAAGTGAGCTTCCTGGAGTAAAAATTTATATACTCACCTTGGGTGAGATAGCTTGACTCTGAGAAAATATGCTTTGGAATAAAGCAGACGTGGAGATTATCTAATCTATGTAACCTTTGATCCTGTGATATTTGACATCTGTAAACCTTGCCTTTTTCACCTGTAAAAGAGAAACAAATCATATTGCATAGGATGTCATGAGCTTAAAATTATTGCTACACAAATCCTTAGCACAGCACCTAACCCATTGTGTAGATGGATAACTGAATAGTATTATAGTTCAGATCCTTCATTTCAAATCTCAGGTCAGGCTTTTGTGGTCAAATTTATTTTTTAAGTTAACATGTAAAATCATATGTATTTATTATGTATAACATAATGTTTTGAAGTAGACATACACTGTGGAATGGCTAAATATAGCTAGTTATCAAATGCATTACTTCACATGGTTATTATTTTTTTGTGGTGAGAATGCTTAACCCATTTATTCCAGAAGTTGCCATTTTTTTGTGTGAAAAATCAGACCTTGGCAATGACCTTAAACAGTAGGACATAAATAACTTCCACAAGCTTAGGGTTCCAATAATGAAATACTAGGCATAAATGGGTTACTATCCACGCTCTAGTAGTAGAGAGCATAATGGCGGTTACCAGAAACTGGGTTGGTTAGGGGAAAGTAGAGATTGAGGTGCTGTTGGTTAAAGGACATATTATTACAATTAAATAGGAAGAATAAGTTCAAAAGATGCATTGTACAGCATGGTGACTACAGTTATTAATTATATTCTTGAGAAATGCTAAGAGAGGAGATAGTAAATGTTCTCTGGTCAGTTTTGTAAACAAACTTCTTATTGCTTAAAATGAAACAAAATGAGATAAATTTAGCCTCACCTTACTTCCTTATTTAGGTACTTTACCTGTTTCTGGCATTGGTGAGCTTATTTAGTTCATGCAAAGATGTAACAGCTGAAGAGAATGATGAAGCAAAAAATCTCCGGCTTGCTATGGCAAAGATTAAAAAAGAAATAAACTATGCTTTTCTTAAAATACTATGCAAAAAACAAAATATCCCAGAGGAGACAATGGACCGTGTAAATGAGGTATATGTTAAAGAGGATATTTCTGACCATACCCTTTCTGAATTGAGCAATACCCAAGATTTTCTCAAGGATAAGGAGAAAAGCAGTGGCACAGAGAAAAACATGACTGAAAATGAGAGCCAATCGCTTATCCCCAGTCCTAGTGTCTCAGAAACTGTACCAATTGCTTCAGGAGAATCTGATATAGAAAATCTGGATAATAAGGAGATTCAGAGTAAGTCTGGTGATGGAGGCAGCAAAGAGGTAAGATGTTTAAGTATCCTTATTGATTAGTGGTGATTTATTGTATTGTTGATAAGTAGGTAAATCAGTGCTTAAGTTCCACAGTCAGATTACCCAGTCAATCCTAGCTCCATCACTCTTAGCTTATGATTTTATGCTTTTGATCAAATTACTTAAACTTTCTAAGTTTCAGTTTTCTTATGTTTAAATGAGGCTAAAATGGTATTTACTCCATAGTGGGGATAATAGTACATAGAACAATGCCTAGTAAAGATTAAGCACTTAGGAAACATTAGATCATATAATGTGAAATTCTATAAATTAATAACCAGGCAGTTTGGGGGTACTGAAAAGTATATGGAGGAAACCAAAGTTTTAAAAATCAAGGTGTGTGATTTAAGGAATCACTAAATTTCCATGGACTTTATCATCTTTAAAATGGGAGATTAAATTAGAAGAGTGCTACAATTCTTTCTTGCTTGCTAAAATTCTAAGATTCGAGTTGGATCATTTCTGCACATATTTCAACATTGTAGTTAAGTTGGATTAAAAGAATTTTAACAACCACTAGTTTGAATTGTGAACAGTTGGTAGCTTTATAATGCACTGGCTTCATAAAAATGTCAGAGTCACATTCAAAGAAAGGTAGATACTATTGTTCACTTAGCTTCTAAAATATACACCCTGCTGGAAACAGTTTTATTGTCTCCATTTGCAAGCAGCATTGTGTTTTAGTAGGAGGTGTAGTTTCATAGAAAGCTACACCTACAGAGATCACATCTGCACAAGGGCTTTTTACTTTGGACCACACTAGGGAATCATTTCAGATCACTTAAGGGCACTGGAGGATCAGGGAATGTTTCTTCAGGTTCCCATAATCTCTGGCACCATCATGTTTCCCAGACCTCTTCTGTTTTGGCAGATGCTCTCTGCAAGAACTTCACAAATTGATTGTCTAATAGGAGTTCAGTTTCAGTTATTCAAAGTCCTTCCATCACCTACTAAAGCCATATTTATTTTAGTTAGAGAAATATTTTCAATTCATATGCCCAATAGTCTAAAATTCATTTATTTTTTAAATTAATACCATTACTATAAAACAGGCAGAAATTCTTACTCAGCACACTTCTCAACATTGATTAAAGATTTTGATTACCATCAATTTCTGGGTAAAATTGCTATTTACCACAACACATCATGTTGGAGTGGCCCTGTAACCTTCTTGCTAGTCTCCTTAGAAATTCTGGAGAATGAAAATACATAGGAAAGCTGTAACTTAAAATAACTGTAAATATTGAAATTACAGTTGTTATTTATGCTGCATAGTTTTTTGGTCTTGTTGATTGATTACTCACAAAAATTTATTCATTTATTTATGTATTTATTTATATATTTAGTTAGGTTCTTTCTAGATGATGTAGCCCATGACTGCTTAGGATGCTGATATACCCACAGCCAAAAACAAAACACAAAAAACATTATAAATGATCTGACAATTTAGACATACACTCTCTTGTTTCTTTGGTATTTGTACTTCCAGCCTATTTTTATTTAAAAAAATGTCTGTAGTGTATATCATAAAAATAACATCAAAATTCACATTGTATTTTATAACTTGTATTTTTTTGTGATGCAGAAGTACAGCATAGTCACTTTCTCATGCCATTAAATTGGCATGAGATTTATTTTTAAAATTAGAATAATACCATCTCACAGGAATTTTGGGAAAAATCACATCAATTGGGTTATGTACAAAGCTTTTTACAACTCTTTAAAAATATAAACGTAGGATGTATAATTTTAGAGTGCCAAATATTACATTTAAATTACTTAATGCCTAGTCTCAAATAAAAATATTGCTATAGATTTTATTTCATTAGAAATAAAATAATAAATCAATTAAGACTCAAATTATAAATCATTTATTTTGATAGAAGATTATTTAATGGCATGAGAAAGTGACCACAATGTACTTCTGCTTTACAAAAAAATACAAGTTACAAGAATATATAAAACTAATGAAAATCTGTTTAAGAGTAATATTCTGCTGGATACTTTCTTTATCTTTAATTGAGCACTATAATGATTTACCGACAATTGGCCATGTAGGGACTAAAGCATAAAAAGCTTTCTAATTATATTTCCTTGACACTCACTGTGTATAAGTCCAAGAGGTAGGAGAAAATATTGATAATTTCTTTTTTTTTTTTTGGCACTCTACTTTTTTTTCTTAATTTTTTTAAGAAAAAAGATTAATATTTTTCTCTTAATTTTTAAGAAATAAGATTCATTTCTTCCAAATGTTAAAATACACTTGCCTTAATTTTTGTTTTAATTAGAAAATATTACTTACATGCTATTAACTTTAGAATTTTAGTGATTTTTTTTTTTGAGACGGAGTTTCGCTCTTGTTACCCAGGCTGGAGTGCAATGGTGCAATCTCAGCTCACCGCAACCTCTGCCTCCTGGGATCAGGCAATTCTCCTGCCTCAGCCTCCTGAGTAGCTGGGATTACAGGCACGCGCCACCATGCCCAGCTAAGTTTTTCTATTTTTAGTAGAGACGGGGTTTCACCATGTTGACCAGGATGGTCTCGATCTCTTCACCTCGTGATCCACCCGCCTCAGCCTCCCAAAGTGCTGGGATTACAGGCGTGAGCCACCGCGCCTGGCCAATTTTAGTGATTTTAAAGAATGATCTATGGCATACTTATTTTCAAATAAGGTAAAACAAAGCATTGTGAGAAAATAACTTTTAAAAAAGCAAAGAATACCATTTGCACTATTACGTGTGTAAAGCAATGACCACCTTATTCTACCCAGCCTTGAATTTCAGTCAAAAGCAGAGTGAGAAGGAAAGTCAATCTCTGCATCTGGGCACTTTTAGTATGACTGTGCCCCTTTCCAAGGCCTGTCCTTGTCCCTATTCCTTGTGACTTACCCTCATTTTACTATATGATAAATTCACGTCAGTCCCATCCTATAATAACATACATAAGACTATCTGGACTGAATTTACAATGAAACCTAAGTGCACTATTATCTACCTATCTTTAGTATCAAGGGATGATTTGTTTTGATTCTTCTTATCTAATTGAAATAGTATATATGAGATGCTTGTGACTTACTTCAAGAAAACTTTGGACCCCAAATCTTTTTGTGAATTGGAGACAGCCTACACATCTTTAACGAAGAAAGTGTTATTAACTAAATATTAGTTTTAATCTAAAATGTTATTTTAGCTTAAATTAAGTATCATACAATATTTTTTAAACTTCAGTTTGTACCAATTTGTATTTTAATATCAGTCATGAAATTGGCCTAAAGTCTTTTAAACCTAATAATATTATTTCTGTACAATTTTTTTCTTACTTCTGAAAGTGAAATAAACTGTAGCCACAGTGGATAAATGAAACTTTACTCACACTTTTCTGGTGGGACTTTACTTTTTAGAAAATAAAGCAATCTAGCTCATCTGAATGCAGTACAGTTGATATTGCTATCTCTGAAGAAGAAGAAATGGTCTATGGACATGAAAGTTCAAAGCATCCTAAAAATGGTAAGAAAAGTTTGTTAATCTTGCTGGGAAACTAATTTGAATTATAAGTTGTCAAAACGTATATGTTCCATATTCAGTGTGTCAGTCAATGGACTGAAGCCTTATATGTTTCTTAATCATGTTAAATATGTAAATGGCACCGTTACAATTTGTTTTCCTCTGAAAGTTATAGGCTGTCTTTTATATAACTAACTTAAATATTGGCCCCATTTCATTAGATCTAAGAATACCTCATTTGACTCCAATATATATAGGTATATGTGTGCATGTGTGTGTGTATACACACACACATTTCAGTGCTGCTTTAACTATACTGATTTTCTGTTTTACTTCTAAATCATCCTTTATTCTAAAGCACACAGTGGTATAGCTACCAATATAAAATCAAATATGAACATTATGTATTTTTACTCAATATTACTTACAGCAGAAAAATGTGTTTTGGAATCATTATTATCAATAATATTTCATTGCCACAGTGCTACTCATAGTATAATTTAACAGGAGCCAAAATTCTAAAATAAAATGTTTTGGTTTTAAACTCCACCTACCTCCATTTATTTGTTTTATCAACTGTATATCAACCTCTTCTCTAGCCTCAGGTTTCCATTTTGCTAACCCTTTTGGCTAGAGTGTAGAGTGCAGCCCTATACACATGTACTCTACCCACAAGGTACCCCACAGTCCAGGTTACTTCCGTAATAGTCTCAATCAAAATTGCCATTTCCATGCCACCTAAGAACTAGAATCAAAGCAATTAATTTAATTTAATTAATTTTATGCCTCTTAACATCTCATAAGTATTTGTGTTTTTAAACGGGAATCTATGTTACATCATGTGAGTCTTCAAAAAGTAAATTTTTAGGCATTATATCAAAATGTTACATTCAGAAGAAGTGGGATATTTATGCATATTTTTTTGTAGTATTAGTGAATATCTACTCTCAGACTGTTTCCCAGAGTGACGGGATGTTCAAGTCATTTCTGCTTTTCACAATGCCTTTCCCCTCCTTACCACCAAACTGACAAGTCCAGTTTTCCTTTTTCTGCTCAGTGATTACAGTGGTCACTACACCATGGGTAAAAATTAAATGTTTATAAATCAGAGACTACCTAGATTAGAATTTGTAAATAAATAATTGCTATGCCACATAATAGAAAGTTTCAGGTGTTTACTTTTTCATGAGTTTTCTAGATTGTGGTTCTTACCAATTCCATTCTTGACAGGTTATGGACACTCATCTTCACTTGGTCAAATCAGTGGAGCATCCAAGAAAGGAAAAATCTGTCGGAACATCAGGAAAACCTGCTGCAAGATTGTAGAGAACAATTGGTTTAAGTGTTTTATTGGCCTTGTTACTCTGCTCAGTACCAGCACTCTGGTAAGTGAGCAGCCAGGGTGTTTGATCCTTTGCTGGGGACAAATGTGGTATAGTTCTGTTAATTCAGAATGTCAACACCAGGGTTACATTTCCAAAAATACTTAGTATAGCACCAAAAAATGCCAAATTTCAAATTCTGTGATTTTAGTTTTAAAACTGAAATATTATACTTTGTTACAAAGTTTACATGTGCATCATTCAATATTAAATTTAATATTGCTTTTTAGTATATTATTTTGCAATAATTGAATTTCAAAATATGTGAGTGACAGTGGGAAAATAGAATGGATACTTAATTCTTCTGATTTTAATGAAGTTTCATGTATGAAACGTTTTAATAATTTGCACAGCCAAAACTACTATATTATGCTTCTACTTAAAAATTTTGTTTTTAAGCCACTAAATTTGCGGTAATCTGTTACAGTCACAATAGGAGACTAATACGCAGCCCTCTCTGGATCCAATTCCCAGGGATGCTCCTCCATTTCCTGCTAGTTCATGTTTCTAGGTCCTGCATAGGTATCAGGTTTTCTGGTATATAATCCTTCTCTTTCCTTAGCAATCTTAGTACTTCCCAGGCCACTGTATGAAGAGAGTTGACTCTACTTATACATGAGATGGCCAGAAGGGTAGGTAGAGGTAGACCTTAAAGAGAGTTTTTAAGACACCTACCCTATTGTAGGCCTCTTCAAAATCCTCAAAAAAGACTCGATTCAGCTCGATCTTGTAGGGAGGCTCTGGAGCCCAGACTGCACCACACAGTTCCACCTCGAGTGATTCAAAGGGGCTGGCATTTATATCTCTATGTCATTCAGCCATTGATTTTGTTGGGTCCCTCTAGGAGTGGAAACATTGCCTCTCAGGTGGGGTAGCCCTTGTTTAGCAGAGGCAATTCTCCAAAGAGGGCTTCAGTTGTGTGCTATCAAGCAACACTCAGTCGCTGTGGAATAGGTAGATTTGCCAGTAAAGGAGTCTTGGTGGGCAGCTCCAACATCTACTACAGTGTTCGATGTGTACTTGAAAAGCATATGTCATATGCTGTACCTGGGTGCAATTATAGTTTCTTATTTCCATTGTTCCCATCTACTATACCCTTAGTGATATAGGAAAGATGTTTTTCTTCTATTAGCTACAGAAAGAATGTGTTAAATCATCCCATCATGATTGCTTTTTTTTCTCCAAAATTTTCTGTTATGGGCATACATTTTTATTGATATATTTCGATGATTCATTATTTTGGACATACAAATGTACACTTGTAGTATTGATCTCTGTATTATTCTGAACTATCCTAAGTTATGTATCTTGCCTAATTTTATTTTAACTTTATTTTTATTAGAATTTACATGACAAATCTTTTTGTTCTGAACATATTCTTCACCTTCTCCTTTCTACAGTTAGGCCCCATTTGCTTTTTATTGATACAGCAGCTCTGTGATACCTTTAAAAACAAATGCTTTTTAAACTGTATACTGTTTTTCCAGTTCTTTGCAGCAGGGTCGTTGGTCTAGTGAAGTCTACTCTACCCATGCTCATTGAAGTGGAGGCTTTTGTACATCTTTTTTGTTATATTTTGCATTATGTACCTGAATAATTGAATAATGAATAAATACATGTGACAAAATAAATTTTTTAAATAACTTGATATTTATCATTTTTGTGGACACTTTTACACCATAATTGGTTCAATTAAAAGTCAAAATCTATTGTTATTTTGTATTTACTTCCATTTAACAGTAGGTTTTAATTTTAATCCTTGCTTACCTTTTTTGTTGTTTTATGTATATTGATACTGAAAGTCTGCCTACCTGTTTTCAATGCTATAATATTTATGAAATTCCTTTCAATGACATGATCAGACTTTACATATTCCATAGTAAAATTAAGGTTGACATTAAAATGAGAAGCTTTGGAGGGACGGTTATAGTTTTAAGCAATCTTCAGTGTTTCAACTGGTTTACCTGATAGCCTTATGAATTTCTAAAGACATTTAAAAAACCTATGTGTTTCTCTGTGAGTAAGTGGCATACATCTGTGAGTTGGCTGCCTGGAATTACAGATAAGATCCATGTCAGACATGACTAAAGATTTTGTCTTTTATGTTAAGTTTGATTAACTGATTTTGAAGGGGATTTTTGGATCACTGTTTAAAACAATTATGAAGCCAGGTTCAGTCTCTATAAAAAGCAGTTCTGTGATTAATTAACGATGTCTGCCATAGGCATGGTGTCAAATAATAGTACTTATGGATTATATCAATAAATACAAGCAGAGTGAACCAGGCCTTGAGCCTACAGCCTCTGACAGTGCTCACCATATGCTAATTAGAAGTGAAATTTTGTTCCCTTCTATATCAAAAGAGTTTTTAGAAATTACATGTACACCTAATCCTTATTTTTTATTTACCCACAGGCTCTTGAAGATATATATATCGATCAGAGGAAGACAGTTAAAATTTTATTAGAATATGCTGACATGATCTTCACTTATATCTTCATTCTAGAAATGCTTCTAAAATGGATGGCGTATGGTTTTAAAGCCTATTTCTCTAACAGCTGGTACAGGCTGGACTTCATGGTTGTTATTGTACGTATTTTAAAGACAATTTAAAAGGCTATTTGATTTACTTTTTCTTCTTCACTCTTACTCTTTCACTTCCTCTCAATTTATTATATCTTTCCTTTCCCTTTTTCTTTACATTGTTGGTACATGACATCATTCTTAGTTTGTAATGCTTAAACATAGATCACTTTCTTCTCATTTGAAATTTTAAAAGTTCAACACTTTATCTCTGGATTATTATAATAATCACCTTGAATATACTGCTAACCATATAAGTTTGTTGCACGGTATCCTGAAGATATATTAGCACCCTAAAATTTTTAATTTTTCCATTGGCTCAACTCTTAAATCATATATCACAATTAGGCAATTTATGATGTTCACCAGTACTGGGCTGGTCCAAGCTCCCCAAATTGCTCATTTAGATTTCTATAATAGATTCCAAGTGGTGTCCCTGCTTCTGCCCTGCACACCTTCATTCTGTTTTCCACATGGTAACCAGAGGAACTGTTGTGAAATGGAAGTCAGTGCATGTCACTTCTCTTGAAACCTTATGGTAAATACCCGTCTCATTCAGGGTAAAATAAATAATCTTTGCAATCAGTGCTCCACAAATCTCTGGTAATCCAAACATATTCCCTGCTATTCTCCCCTTTTCCCTGTCCAGGTCTATTTACTGATCCATCAGCACCAGCCTTCATGGAGCACCTCAGATATGCCAAGATTATTTTCATCTTAGTGCCTGTGCACTTATTTTTCTTTCCACCTGGAACTTTGCTGGCACTGATGCCTTAGCAAAAATGAAACCTTTGAAAGTCTTTCCTTAACAACCCTATTTAAAACTGCAATCACTCCAATATTCCCTTTCTGTTTGTCTGCTTACTTCATCTCCATATCCCTTACGAATATTACAACATTTGTTCATTTATTTTGTTTATTGTCTATTTTCTCCCAAGGAGTAAGTTCCATTAGGGTAGAATTTTTTTTCTTGCTTTTTCCCTCTCCTTTCAGTCCTGTGCCTAGAACAATTTCTGTCATATTAGAAGGTTCTCAGTAATTTTGTTGAATGAATGAATGGCTTTTGATTCTATAAACAATGATAGAAGCTCCTCAACCTACAATTAATGATTTAAAATAGCTGACCTCTCTTTTCTAAGTTGGTTCTTTAAAATTAGCCTTCCACTCTAGCCAAATCATACTATATCTGCAACTTGACTTCCTGTTTCCTAGTCATTGTTATTCTGTGTCCAGATTCCTTCATGCTTATGAAAATGATACCCAAACTTCAAAGCCTACTCTTTAATTAAGTGAAAAAGAAATTTTTCATATACGTTGACTTGAAAAATATAGAAAAATCTGAAGATATAATAAAAGTTAATCTTAGCCTTACCTTCTTACTCACAATTAATGAACATGAGGTAATCTTAAATATGTTTCCTTTTAAAATTTTACCTTAGTATCTAGTTATACTTTTTTGTAATGTATATACTTTTGACATAACAATATTTATATCTTTCTTGATGCCTATCCTCTGAAAGCCTATCTTGAATGTTGTCTTAACCATATTTGTATATAAATGCATTTGTAAATATATTTCCTATTTTGTTTTAATGAACACACTGCATACCATTACTGTATTACAATTATGAAACTGATTCTTAATCTAATTTCAAACTAAAAAACAGATATAACTATAAATCATTGATCATAAAGAATATAAAATGTATAACTTTTATTTATCTCACTAAAATATGTTCCTTATTACCAGAAAATCATTTAATTTTTTTAAAGTGATTTTAACACTGAAAAAATTTCTTATAACTTTATGTATTTTGAAATATATGTAAAAATAATTCAAAATTTACTGGTAAGTTTTTATTGTATAGCTCTGTTGTGATAAATACAAAGTTTATTTTACATGTTATTTTTATTAATATGGAATCCTATTTACTCTTTTTTAAAAATACATATATAGGTGTTTTGTCTTAGCTTAATAGGGAAAACTCGGGAAGAACTACAACCACTTATTTCCATTAAATTTCTTCGGCCCCTCAGAGTTCTATCTCAATTTGAAAGAATGAAGGTAAGAGATAAGTTTCAAAGCTAATCTACAGATTTTTATTTGGAAATACTAAATTTGAACAAATTGGCAAGATTTGTTGTTTTCTCATTTGTACCTTTAACTATATTAATACAACAAAAACCTTACATTTCATTACTTAGTAATAGAGAGAAATAAGTACATTAGTTACGCTTATTAAGATTTTAGGTTCTTACTGCTCATAAGGTATAAAAACTACTAAAGACAAGTTAAGGAAACTAGTATTTGAGAGAGAAAACACAGCTTAAAAATTATATTTCTACCCCATATACATATGCATATTAATGAAATTGTCTCCATCTAAAAAATTTGTCAGAAAATAAGACTTCGATCAGTTAACAAACTTTAAAATTGTACATTGTATATACTAAGTGATTACTCACTGAATGAAAGAAGAGTTTGAATTTTAAGATAAATTTATTATTTTTAATGTCACAATTACCTGTCCTGTCTTCTTCACTCACATGTTAAAACCTCTTCTAAACAATGTAAGAAAAATTAATAGATTGAATATTATAAAATGGCCAGTGTTCAGTCTTTGGTGCCTAAAATATGAGCCATAAGGCTCAACATAATTTTTAAAAAAATGGAGTCTGTGACCACCACAAGTAATATAAGTATGTAGCTATACAGTGTTACCTATTGTATACAGAAATGGCAGAACATGTTCAAATGTACCTTTTATTTTATAATCATACAATTATGTGTTTTTGTATTTTTATTTACATAGATTTTTCTCATGTCATTCTGGCACTTCGATTACTACCTAATATCACATATTCATTGCAATGGTAGAATCTAATGAGAAAATTACTAATGTTTAGCCTTTATCTCTATAGTTGACACATTATATGTTACATTTAAAGTACTGTTAGTTGAGAAACCATAACACTTAAATTCTTTTCACTTGAAAAAAAATGAATATTTATTTTTCTCTCAAAATTTGAATGATTACTATAAATACATACAGAAATATAGTTTAAAATACGTATTTTATTTTAGAAATTTTAGATACTACTAATTTACAATTTCAGAAATTTTAATACTACTTTTATATGATTGCATACATACATACATGTATAAGTACCAGTTCTTAAGTACATTAATTATATTTGTATATATACTTAGTTCATGATTGATGATAATATTCTTATAATTCATACAAATATCTGATTGACTCATTATAATAGTACTTAAGCCGGATCTGTTTCTTAACTACATTTGATTTATTTATGTTGGGAAGTTAATATTTTCATTGGCAAATACATAAAAATTCCAATTATGATAAAATTTCATTTACAAACCTCAGAAATAAAAAATGTAAAATAATAATTGTAACTTACATGATAACTTAAGAAACAGACTTCATTAACCATGTCATGAAGATCCACAAGGTGGTGATATTCCCCAGTGCTTTTAAACTAAAATAAAGTGGAAAATAGCTGAAAAGACGGTGATTTAATGTTTTGAAAAGATTGAAGTTAAAATGACAAAACAGGCCAGGCATGGTGGCTTACAGCTGTAGTCCTAGCAGTTTGGGAGACCGAGGGGTGAGATCGCCTGAGCTCAGGAGTTTGAGACCAGCCTGGGTAACATAATGAGATCCTGTCTCTACAGAAATTACAAAAATTAGCCAGGTGTGATGTGTGCACCTATAGTCTCAGTTACTTGAGATGCTGCGATGAGATGAGGTGAGAGGATCACCTGAGCCTGGGAGGTCGAGGCTGTCGTGAGCCAAGATTGCTCCAATACACTCCAGACTGGGTGACAAAGTGAGACTGTCTCAAAAAAAGAAAAAAAAGATAGCCACATTTCCAGTATAAATACATAAATAGTTTAGTGCTCGGAAAACATTATAGAATATTCTAATATGTAAACTACAGACGGCCTATTTACACACACACACACACACACACACCCCTCCCTAAATTAATATGTAAATAAAATAAACTCTTCTTTATTTTTTTAAAAAAGACAATACCAATTCTTTTTCTTAATAAATTTAGACATAATAGAGAAAAAGCTAACAAAATCAACAAGTTGTCTGCCCCAATTTAGAGAAAAGCAGGAAAATATTTGCCACGGTAACTGACTCTGTCAGAAATTAGGCACTGTAACATTTAATGTTGAACATTTATTAGACTGGCAATGAGACAATGGCTGTGTACAATTCAAGGTCAGGAAAACAGTAGCCATGCTTAGGTCAAAGTTAAGTTCAGACCTGAAGCCTCCTGTCAACCTCCAGAACTTCTGTAAATGATCGCTGAAGATATATCATTATATTAGGAAGCTACATGTGCAGTTAATGATTATGTCTTTAATAAGTTTAAGGTCGTAGGTACTGTCTACTTTTCAAATGTATGTGTCAACTATATCTACAGTTTTTATTCTATGTATATGGATTTTCTAAGACACATGGCACTTTTCTTCAGCAGAACCACCAGTGTACCTTTTAAAATATTTAAAAGTATTAACAAAAGATCTGTGATCTGGTTTTAGAAATAAAAGTGTTACTAAAAGCACAATTAAAAGCCAAAATACTAATTCAAAGACAGACAACTATGGAACATAAGCAAGAATGTATAGGCAAAAGGATTAGTATCTAGTAATGGTTGACGGAAGGAAAGGTCAGAATGGTAGAAAACGGAATCAATGGTACTTCAGGAATAAAGTGAGAAAGGAAAGGTCAGGAAAGGGAAATCAAAAGTATAAAATTAAGGAGGCTGAGCACAGTGGCTCATGCCTGTAATCCCAGCACTCTTTGGGAGGCCTAGGTGGGTGGATCACCTGAGGTCAGGAGTTCAAGACCAGGCAGACCAACAGTGGTAAAACCCTGTCTCTACTAAAAATACAAAAAAAGAAAAAAAAAAAAGTGAAGCTAGGATGGTGGTGTGTGCCTGTAACCTCATCTACTTGGGAGGCTGAGGCCTGAGAATCACTTGAACCCAGGAGGTGGAGGTTACAGTGAGCCAAGATCAGGCCATTGTACTCTAGCTTGGGCAAAAAGAGTAAAATGTGGTCTCAAAAAAAAAAAAAATAAAAAGCTAGGAGAAACACAAGTAGTGGAAATATTAAAACTATGATACTAGCTATAGCAACTGATTTGCATTTGCCATAGCAGCTTCACTGGAGTAACAAGAATACAAGTCTAATTTGAATTTTACTCCTACTCTGGAGTGACTCACCAGTGACACCAAATGGTTCAGTGAGGATTGAATCCTTCTGAAGTACAGCCACCCATTCATTGACAGTGCAATCCCTTGGTCTTCTTATTTCCCTGACTTCTCATTCACATGTTATATTTCACTTAAAATCTAATATATGTATTTTAAGATAATCTCATACATACACACAAGTTCAATTATCTTGAATTATCATTTCTGTCACAATACAGGAAATCAATAAGCATATATATCATATAATATCTTATATATATCATGTTATATGTCTTTTATATGCATATATAAGCATATATCTTATATAATATATCTGATATATATTATATATCATGTATCTTACACATTATATATTGTATAATATATAATACATATTACATCTTACATGTAATTATATATTATATATCATATATAAGATATATAAGATATAGATGCTTATTGATATATATCTTATTGATATGTAATACATTATAAGATTAGATATATATAATATATAATATATATCAATAAGCATCTATATCCTATATATGTTAAGATACATTATATCTTACATATTATGTATAAGATATATATCTTATGTATCTTATATATAAGATAGATATATAACATACATATTGTATATCTTGATAAATAATAGATATTATATATAAAATATATAATATGTGCATATATATTAAGCCAGTGAAATAATTACTTATTCTAGTATTTTAGTATTTGTGCTAATCAGCTCTGTTTTCATTTAATGATTTTTTAGTACAAACATTTTAAGAATATCTAGATTTGAAAGTATTTTTTAAAATAATAATTCAGTTGCTATTTAGATTATTTCAGTACCAGCATGTGGGCTGTTAAATCTTTAGATATGGCCTTCTAGGTTCTTTTTTTAACGTATGACATTGTATCAATTAGTATTTTTCAGTCTGATCAATTTCACATTTCTTATCTAAAGTTTACATTTTTTTAAATATGCCAGGTGGTTGTGAGAGCTTTGATCAAAACAACCTTACCTACTTTGAATGTGTTTCTTGTCTGCCTGATGATCTGGCTGACTTTTAGTATCATGGGAATACACTTATTTGCTGGCACGTTCTATGAATGCATTGACCCAACAAGTGGAGAAAGGTTTCCTTCATCTGAAGTCATGAATAAGGGTCAGTGTGAAAGCCTTCTGTTTAATGATTCCATGCCATGGGAAAATGCAAAACTGAACTTTGATAATGTTGGAAATGGTTTCCTTTCTCTGCTTCAACTAGTAAGTACACCTTTGACTTTTCCTTGTTAATTATATATTCATCCATATTGTAGGTTGAATGCAAAGGACAAAGTGTGTAAAATTAATACATTTAGTTATAAAACATTTTAGCAACTAGTAGATAAATGTAATGGGACATACAACACTAGAATCATTTAAAGAGACAAAAAAATATTGTCCCTGTCCCATTGGAAGAAAGAAGTAGAGATGCAGGAAAATTTAATAGAGGAAATACAGGTACTGGCCCAAAGGATATTTACCACCACTGATCATGTTATAGGGTAATGTATTAGTCAGGATTCCCTGAAGGAACAGTATATACATTATATGTATATATATTAATAGGATATATACACACACACGCACACATACATACACACTAATAGGAGATATATATAGATATAGATATATAGATATATGGGAGTTTGTTAAGTATTAACTTACATGATCACAGGGTCCCACAATAGGCTGTCTCCAAGCTTGAGGAGCAAGGAGAGCCAGTCTGAGTCTCAAAGCTGAAGAACTTGAAGTATGATGTTCAAGGGCAGGAAGCATCCAGCATGGGAGAAAGATGTAGGCTGGGAGCCTAGATCAGTCTAGCCTTTTCACGTTTTTCTGCCTGCTTTATATTCACTGGCAGCTAATAAGATTGTGCCCATCAGATTAAGGGTAGGTCTGCCTTGCCCAGCCCACTGACTCAAATGTTAATGTCCTTTGGCAACAATCTCACAGCCACACCCAGGAGCAATACTTTGCATCCTTCAATCAAATTGACACTAAATATTAACTCTCAGAGGTAATAATTCTTTGGTCCCATCCAAGTCACTTGTTTTTATCTCTTTAGTATTTTGAGGAACTGCTACTCAGTGACTCAATATCTAGCAGATATGAAGTGGGGGTGAACAATTCCTCTGATCTCTCTCACAGAAAAGCATATGTGAGAGAGCAGCCACAAGTCACCATGACACATGGCAGCATGTAATTATTGACCGTTTATATATCTGTTTCTCTATTTATCTTTTTCTAGTCATTTTATCTTAAAATATTTTGTTACTAACTACAAATAAACTAAGTACCTGAAATAGTTGTTAACAGATGGTATAATAATGAAAATATTAAATATCCCAATTACACAGTATGTAGAAGTGTGGCAAGGCTGTATCAAATGTTTCAGTGTACTAATAACAGATTGAGATTTTACTTTTCATTTTCCGTGAAGTATAAATTTTCATAAGACTTATAAATGCATATCATTTTTACAGGCAACATTTAATGGATGGATCACTATTATGAATTCAGCAATTGATTCTGTTGCAGTAAGTATAATATCATTTTAAAGCCATTGTTAGGATACAAGCGAAGTCACTTTTGTAATTCAAGCACAGAACACCAGTTATAATGAATAGAAATCAAATGCATTTCAGATTGGGTATTTCATTGGCAATGAAATTCTTCCATGGTTATTATACAATGATTGAGGCCCCAAAGGCCCATTTGAAAGATTATCAGACTTTGCACCAGTGACGAATGAGATAAAGTTTAAAATTCAAATAAACAAAGCAGTGATATGCTTTTGCCAAAGAGCAAAAATGAAAACAGTTCCTTAGGTAGTGTTGTTGGGTTTTCTTGTTATAAATTGTTTTATAAAACCTTTTTTAAAAAGCTGATATCAATAATTTGCTTATTTTAAATGTATAGATAAATATGCAGCCTCGTTTTGAAGACAACATCTACATGTATTATTACTTTATCAACTTTATTATACTTGGAGTATTTCTTCCACTGAGTATGCTGATTAGTGCTATTGTTGATAATTTCAACAAGCATAAAATAAAGATAAGTATAAATATTATTTGTTTATCTAATGTCTGAGAAAATCATGCATATATATATATATGTAAATGCCCTGCTTCAAATAATTGACTTTGGATTCAGCTTAATGTCATTTTATTTGACATGTATTTTTAAAAATCATGATTAATGTTCTTGCACACTGATGAACATTGCTAAAATGTTCATCTTTACATTGATTTCTAAATCCAAAATAGGAACTACACAGTCAAGTTTAAAAGTTAAAAATTACAAGTGTCTGTATGTTTTGAAAATAATGATGTGCTAAAAAGTAATTACAGTAAATAAAATTTTGTATCTTCACAAACGTGAAGATTTCAAGAAAAAAATACTCTTTTACTTTGTTAGATTTGTAGACTTCATAATCATAGCCAGCATGGACACCTTTCTAAGTTAGAGTAGCTCTTTCTGCTAGAAGTAGAGAGAGTCAGAAATCCTAATTGGATGGCCTAAGTAGGAGTGCTTGAACCCAATAAGACAGAATTCAGAGACAGAATTTAATAACTACGTTTCATGCCATTTCTAAAAAGAGACTCCTTTCAGGGCCTCCACAAATGCAAAGAATTCAAAAGACATCTAAGTCAACTTATTGTACACAGGTACCTAATCTCTTTTGGAAAGCCTTCCAAAAAAGTCAAAGCAAAGAATAGTTTAATGTTGAAATTTTATCTTCAGCCATGTAATCAAACTTAGCATGTGTAAAATCTGGTACAGTCCTTATCCAATGAAACCTCAAACCACAGGGTAGTACCGAACCTGATTGCTGTAAATCAGAACACGTTTCTGTTCGTGTTAAGATGCCCTTTCCATGACTAAGGCTTATCATGCACCATGGTCATTTGCAGTTTGAGGTACAACAGCAAATCAAGCATAATTAGTTTTTTGTTCTTCACAATTTCATGAACAGAAGATTAATTCATAACATAGATTTAGCAACCTTGACATACTGTTTTTTTTTCTCCTTAAGTCCAGCATTTTCACCTTTTCTCTTAAAGAAGCACTTTGCCACTTTGCAGCTTCTTTTTGGCACATCCGAATGCCAGCATCATTTCTCTTGCATTTGGGGGTTATTAATTAAAATAAGGATGACTTGAACACAATCGCTGCGATAACAGAGATGGCTGCAAAGTGACTAATGTGTGGGTGGCATAGACCGAGTGGCTATGCTGGACAAAAGGATGATTCACATCCCAGTCTCTGCAGAGCAGGATGGCACAAGATTTTACCAAACTACTCAGACCCACTTGAATTTAAAATGTATTTAACTATTTACTTTTAGAATTCTTCATGTAATAATTTCCAACTGTGGTTGACCATGGCTAACTGGCACTGTGGAAAGTGAAACTTCAGATGAGGGGAGACTACTGTATATCACTCTTGAGTCTCCACTAATGAAGTAGGAGTAGAGAGCTGAGTGATAAAATGTGATTTTGTTTGGATGCTTTAGCTTTCTACAAGTATCGACCCTGTAAGATAATATACTAGGATTTGCTTCTAGGCTTTGAATTGGTGACTGCTGTCAATTTAAGTGACCAGGTCCTAATTTAGAGAAATAGTTCCTAATTCCTAGGACATGACATTATTCACTTCACATATATTACATAAGATACTGAAATTAGCACTAGAAACACAGAAATGAATGAGCCCTCAAATGTGCTGTGAAGAAGCAAGCACAAGGTACTTTTGGAATGATAGTAAAAAATATTTTCTGATAGTATTTGAAAAATAAAGCAATATACAGTCATATAAAAATGATCACATATGATTATTTCTGTTTATTTCTACTTACTAAAAGACACAGACCAACTTTTCCTTTAGCTATTGAGCTCAACCTTTCTTAGTAAATATTTCCACATATCTCCTGCTGTTTCTCCTTTGTCCCTTTATACAACCATATGTGGAAATAGGGTTGACAATCTTCTAGGAGAGTGCGCTTTGAGATTACTGAATTTTGGTCACTATTGGCATGTAATTCTGTATGTGCTTTTTATGGATTTTTGGCAGAAAGTCAGATATGTTCAAACATGATTTCATTCATTGCAGTTAAGCCTTTTTTAGAGGATTAAATCAGTAATTGCCAAGTCTTTAAAAGGCATATTAACATAAGGGAAAATTTGGATTAAGTGTAATTTTAATTTCTTTTTCTTTCCTTTCATTACCTGGGAGGCTCAAATATCTTTATAACTGTTAAACAGAGGAAACAGTACTCCAGGCTGAAGAAGCTAATGTATGAGGACTCTCAAAGACCAATACCTCACCCACGAGTAAGAAAATGTCTAGATTTTTTGAAACTTCAATAGAAGTGTTTTTTATATAATCTCTTTTTAAAACCCTAACAAATGCTTTTGACAAAATTTTGGGGTCCCTTGACAAAGCTTTTAATGGTCATTTTGTTTGTTTTGATTATATGTTATAGTTTGGCAAAAATTTAGGTTCACACTTATTCTCCTATATATTTTGAAAAGAAAGCTGTAGAGTTACAAAGACTGTATATAGGCATATGTATCCCATTAATAGGACTATTACACCTGTTTTTTGTTTGTTTGTTTGTTTGTTTTTTCCCACAGAGCAAGCTCCAAGGATTCATTTTTGACTTGGTAACAAGCCAAGTTTTTAATGTCATCGTTATGGTTCTTATATGTTTCCAAGCAATAGCCATGATGATAGACACTGATGAACATAGTCTACAAATGGAAATTGCTCTCTACTGGATTAACTTAATTTTTGTTATTTTATATACCATGGAATGTATACTGAAGCTCATTGCTTTCCGTTGTTTTTATTTCACCATTGCATGGAACATTTTTGATTTTATGGTGGTTATTTTCTCCATCACAGGTAAGATTTTGTTTAGTCAAATTTTATTCATAATAATATTATTCAAGCAAACTCTTACAGTAAATATCTCATGAAATATAGTCTCCTAATAAGCAAAACAGGTAGGGATTTTTAAAAAATTTTCAACAGGAATGCTTCACATTTGTATTCATACATATACCACCCATGCCAGATAGAGATAAGATGTTCAAAAATATTTTTTGAATAACAAAGACTTTGCATCACAAGCTACCAGGTGACTGCTTAGTCACCCCTTCATATATATGTTAGTTTTATAATATATGTTTTAATATACATTAGTTTTCTAGATGACACTAGAAAGATTTTATGTCTTAGAATGATGTAACCTTTCAAGTTCACTACTATTTCCTTCCCTTAATCTCTGAAACTATTTATAATTTACACACACTAGAGTTTCAAGCTTTAATAAATTTATTGCTTGTTTTCTCTTACTTTGGAGATCTCGTTCTTTTATTTAATAAATACACTTGATTATTTTCTATATGAATAAATATTGTGCTATATGCAAAAAATTCAGTAGTAAACAAGATAGGCGTAATTTCTGTGTACACATAGTTTGGAGTCTATTAAAGGATACAGACAATTAAAAAGTGCATTTTAATACCATGCTATTAAGGTTTTGGTAGGGAAGGCACAGGGTGCTGCAGCAGCACAGCGGAAGGAGGTGACCTCATCAGTAAGTAGAGGTAAGAGAAAACTTTATGCAAGATGTGAAATCTACTCAGAGACTTTTTAGGTAAGGAGATAGCCAGGCAGAGAATTTAGGGTCAAAGAGTTTCAGATAGAGAGAAGATTGTCTGCTTCCCCAACACACATATTAGGATGTAAGTTCCATGAGAATAGAAACAATATTTAAGAGTTTATTGCATCAATATTTAAGAGTTTACTGTTTCTGCTGTTAGGGGGGATAACACACATATTAGGATGTAAGTTCCGTGAGAGTAGAAACAATATTTAAGAGTTTATTATCCTATGTATTGTGTAGTAGAAAATGTAGATAAACTGTTTGCCCAGATGTGCTTCCAAATAGTCACTCATTCAGTTGATAGTGGAAACAATGCAACTAAGTACTGAGAAAATGTAAGAAGCTTCAGAAAAGAAGAAGCTATTAGAAAAAACTGATAGAAAAGTACATGAAGACAGGAAGGAGCTGATTGGAAGAAGGCAGAGGATTGATGCCATAGGACTCTCATAGAGTCCTATGAGAATGAAGAGAACTTCGTCAGAGAACTGAAAGGAAAAGCAATTGCAGTCAGAGAGAAAACAGTTTGAAGTTTCAGAAGGCAGGGTATCCTGGGTCCAGAACGTGGTTATAAATGTGGATTTGTAAAATGATGGAGAAGAGTGTAATAACGTGAGAAGACCAAAGACAGAAACTGGCTTTTAAATGGGTTGTTGACAGTAGGTGCTAAGGTGAAATGAGAGACAGTAAGTCAATTATTGAAGTCTTCAATGAAAATGAATGAAGAATGAGTAGACCATAAAACCAAGGAGTGGTAGGAAATGATGTAATTGAATGACATGATCCACAAAGTGTCAAAAACTTATTTTATTTTTTCTTTATAAAAATAATAGGAAGGAAAAGTGACCAGAAATCACTTTAGAAAGAAAGAAAGATATATATTTTTTTCTTTCTGACCCGAGGAAAGTGGAGTGGGGAAAAATGAGCTCCCTGCATTTGAGAAGGTTGCAAGGGAAATAGTGTTCAAGATAGAGGCAGATTTAGCCATCATCCTCAGCAAACTAAAACAGGAACAGAAAACCAAACACCGCATGTTCTCACTCATAAGTGGGAGTTGAGCAATGAGAACACAGGGAGGAGAACAACACACACGAGTGCCTGTTGGAGGCTGGGGAGTGAGGGGAGGAAACCTAGAGGACTGGTTGAGAGGTGCAGCAAACCACCATGGCACATATATACCTGTGTAAAAAAACTGCATGTTCAGCACATGTATCCAGGTGGGTTTCTTTAGAAAAAATAAGGAAAAAAATTAAAAAAAAAACGCACCCTTGAAAAAAAAAAGAAATTGGGTTAAAAAAATTTAGTGATGGGAATGAATAGAGATAGGGTAAGGATAGAACATCAGAGGGAAATGTTGTCTTAGGCAGAGACCAAGTTTAACACAAATGTGAGACATGATTCCTCCAGATTCAACAAACCTACCATATCACTTAGAAGCCTCATGGGATTCTTCTTTCCACTACCGTCTCAACTCTTTAAAATAAACTACATTCTCTCTGATGCTTCCAGAGAATATCTCTTATACCTTTGTAATTATAATTTTACCTTGTTTTACATTTCTTGTGTTAATCACTGCCATATTTTACTCATCAACTACCACAGCTACAAAAAAGTTCTAAACAAAGACTTTTTTATTCAGTTCACATTTAAAGTTGCTGGAGCCCCAGTACTATTTAGGAAATAAAAAAATTAAATTATAATCTATGAATTACTGAATGCTAGACATTTCTATAATTATATTTATCAATTAAATCTTTCTGCCTTATAATTATTTTAAATGTCCAGTTTAAAATAATTCTAAATTATAAGTTTTCTGAAGACAGAAATTATGTAATTAATCTTTGCATATTTGTGTGATAAATTTATTAGGCATTCAATCAAGGTTGCATGGAACTAAATGTCTTCATCCAATAGCAATAAAAAAATTATGACTATTGTCCTAGATTATAGGATCAGGTCATCTGTAATTCCAGAAGAACTTGATCTATAATACTCTTAAGATGATGTTACAGAAAAATAATTTTTGAAATTTATGTAGATACCTGAGCATTGATACAATTGGTGTTTGGCTGATCTGAACGTTCAACATGCTAACTGTTAAATGAGAATGATTAGTAAAATGGAAGGAATAATTAAAGGATTAATAAAATATAGGGAAAAACAATTAAGTATAAAATAATTTATAGTCTTTGAAACATAATTGTATCTGAATAATTGCATAGCCTGCCTTATCTTTTCCCACCCCCAGGACTATGTCTGCCTATGACAGTAGGCTACTATCTTGTGCCTCCTTCACTTGTGAAACTGATACTTCTCTCACGGATCATCCACATCCTGCGTCTTGGAAAAGGACCAAAGGTGTTTCATAATCTCATGCTTCCTTTGATGCTCTCCCTCCCAGCATTATTGAACCTCATTCTTCTCATCTTCCTGGTCATGTTCATCTATGCCATATTTGGAATGTATAATTTTGCCTATGTTAAAAAAGAAGCTGGAATTAATGATGTGTCTAACTTTGAAACCTTTGGCAGCAGTATGCTCTGTCTTTTCCAAGTTGCGATATTTGCTGGTTGGGATGGGATGCTTGTTGCAATTTTCAACAGTAAATGGTCTGACTGTGATCCTGATAAAATTAACCCTGGGACTCAAGTTAGAGGAGATTGTGGGAACCCTTCTGTTGGGATTTTGTATTTTGTCAGTTACATCCTCATATCATGGGTAATCATTGTAAATATGTATATTGTTGTTGTCATGGAGTTTTTAACTATTGCTTCTAAGAAGAAAAACAGGACTTTGAGTGAAGATGATTTTAGGAAATTTTTTCAGGTATGGAAAAGGTTTGATCCTGATAGGACCCAGTACATAGACTCCAGTAAGCTTTCAGATTTTGCAGCTGCTCTTGATCCTCCTCTTTTCATGGCAAAACCAAACAAGGGCCAGCTTATTGCTTTGGACCTCCCCATGGCTGTTGGGGACAGAATTCATTGCCTTGATATCTTACTTGCTTTTACAAAGAGAGTTATGGGTCAAGATGTGAGGATGGAGAAAGTTCTTTCAGAGATAGAATCAGGGTTTTTGTTAGCTAACCCTTTTAAGATCACATGTGAGCCAATTACAACTACTTTGAAACGAAAGCAAGAGGCAGTTTCAGCAACCATCATTCAACGTGCTTACAAAAATTACCGCTTGAGGCAAAAGGACAAAAATACATCAGATATTCATATGATAGATGGTGATAGAGATGTTCCTGCTACTAAAGAAGGTGCCTATTTTAACAAAGCTAACGAAAAATCACCTATTTAAAGCCAGATCTAATCCCACTTACCACCTCTTTGCAATTTTCTTCACATATCTGAAAAATATTTAAAGCTTAAACCAGAAATAAAGAAATCAAAAAAAGTCGAGATAATGATCAGTTCTTTACAACCCATGGTAATTAAGCTTGTATTAACAAGACTTCATGCAAAATTGACTTTTTAGCACTATATCTAACCAATCAAGACAACCCTTAATATTGCTGCAGTGAGTTTAAAGCAGGTTAAAGTGGCCATTTGACAATCTCATGTTTGTTTTCTTTGGGTGGTTTATATTATTCGTACCTTCTAGGGAACGAAGGGAAACGGTGATATAGATACTCAGCAGCAGGGGCTTTCTTTTTATATTTTATGTCTAATTTAGTGGGCTTCAAGTGGCCACTATAAAGATTTACTTACAAATAAGCAAATAATTTTCTGATATGTGATGGTGAAATGCTACTGGCCATTAAATCATAAACTTGCCTAGACAAACGCCAATTGGAAGAAGGAGAGGGCAGTTACTTAGAAGTGTCTTTGAGATCAATCACAGAGATTCCTGGGGTGATTAACATTGCATTTGAAAAAGATTGGTTGAAGCTCTATGTTCATTTTTGTTTGTTCTTGTTTTCTTTTTATTTTGGAACTGGCAATGAAAAGGATTTCACTGTTCTCTGGCTCCTGGTTTCTCATTCTCTTTGGCTAGTTCCACCTAAGCTCTGACTCTTGAACAGAACAGATCCATAAAAGAAGAAGCATAAAGGAGAGTTGTGACCTAAAATTTTTTGTGTTTTCTTCTTATTTACATCTATTTTTTTAGATAGTATACATTTACTAAAAATGACCTAATAGGTAATAGGTTAACAGACTCAAGCTTTACCTTACTATGAAATTGATGTATTTTTACCAATTATTTCTAATGTAAAATTGAATATGTAAGATCTGACAAATGTATGTTGAAATATGAATTAGAAAAGTTGAGCATTATTATTATAATGTACAGGGATTTCCATAGTGTCTTGACCCTTAATTAGGATTTTGTGGCCACTTTAAAGTACTTTTCACTCTACTTTATAATTCTTTATAACTTAGAGAAAGACAATGTTCACTCAAACTATGAGAACTATGAATTAGGAGACAAAAGCTTAAATTGGTTGTTGTTTTATAACATTAGTTTGTACAGGTGAGTTTTCCCTTATATATTTATATTTTCAAGCTTTCTAATCTCATCACATACATTAATACTCTATAAAATGCTTTATATTTAAAGAACTTTAAAATCCTAAACATTAGTTTTCACTATTGAAATTATTTTTTAAAGATAGGCATAGACAGTTGTCCTTTGACTTATTGATACAGATATAGTCATTTACTTCCATGTTGTTTGAGATTTTAAGAGTTATTTCAACTGTATGAAGATTGATTTCAATGTGCCTACTAGGCCCTAAAAGATTCAGAAAGAAAATCTGTGTATTATTGACTTAAATGTCATCCTTTAATATTTTATATAGCATTCAGTATATTTTATGTATCAGTAATTGTATTTTATTCTGAATGCATGATCTCAAGCCTTAACTATTATCATCTTTTTCTGCCCCTAAGAAATTAAATAACCTAACCAAGATGCCTTTGGGGAATGCCCTAAGCAAGTGTAATTTCAGGTTTTTTTTTTTTTTTTCTATAAGTGTTCCTTCCCTTTCTCCTCCTGCTCTCTGTTATGTTATGTTATGGGGACCAGTGAGGAACCAGTGTTAAAAAGGTGACAATGTGATAGCTGGTGCTTCATCCAAGCTTCTCAGTTTTCTATTTCTTAGGAATGCTCTACTGTGGAAACTGCTTCAGATACTTAAATTAAATTATAACTTGCTTCTGTTAATTGCATAAAGATGATACGCTGATTTTAGGTTGAAAAGCGTATCTTTTTCTTATAAACTGTGTTTGCCAGTTACCTTCCAAAAGCTGTGTAAAGAATTATTTTTAATGAAGTCTTAACAACATATCTTACTTTTTACATACTATAGAAAATAATAAATATAACTTGTTAACCACATTAAGCTATGTTTGTTTTTAATTTTATGTCAGTTTGGCAATTTTATGTAGTATATTTTTTAAAAATAAGGTTTACATTAAAGTTTGTTTATTCAGACTTAAAAATAGAAACAGTTGTACTTTCTTTAGATCATGTAATTTTGTAAAATAAATTTTGGCATGCTTACCAGAGGCTCCTATACATTAACAAGATGTAAAAAGAGTACTCCTTATCAAAATTATAATGATAATCTTACTAGATATATTTTCATATTATTAGAATTTACTTTCTGGAAGATAATACTGAAATGACATTTTTTGGTACACTACTATTTATCAATTTCTACATCTTCAAAAATTCCACTGTGCTTCATTAACAAATTTAATACACTTGAAATTGTTTTAAAGATAATGGTAACAGCTACCACTTACTGAGCACACTTTTCTGCCCAGCCTTATCCTACGTATTTATCATGCATGAAGAAGTGATTACTCTTCTTGCACATTAGTTGGATTCTAGGATGTGTTCATATGAGGGAAAGAAAAATGCATGAAGTGATCACACTCAGTTTATAGATGAAGAAAATTAGGTTTAGAAAGGATACGAAGTTTTTATATGGCAGAGACCTTGTAAGTAAAAAGGTGAGGACTCTAAACAAGGTCCAGTTACAGAGCCTTAATGTACTCTCTCTCACACTCACTCTCTCACTCTCTCTCTCTCTCTCCATCTCCCTCTGTCTCATTTTCCCTCACTTGGTGGAGGAAATTTTAAAAGTAGAGACATTCCCCGGAAAAAGGGAAGGCAGAAGGGATAAAATTATAGAAATGAAAAATTCAACATTTTGTGAATGCTGAATACTAAAGGTAAACTCAGATCCTATTTAGATAAAGATATATCTGAGACTGAAGAGCATACTGACTGCTGGGGGGAAACATAACTGTGCAGCAGCTGGTTATAATACATGATAATTTTTATACTATGGGCCTGTATTGTAATATACATGCAGGCAGGAATAATGGGTTCTGTGTTGGATATCAGAGGTGAAGTGAGTAACATGGGCCCCTGCAGAAAAAGGAGGACTTTATCAATTAAAGAAGGCAATTTCATTCAACACAGAGGCACTTGTAAGGAGAGGAGTTCACCACAGAGATGAGACCTAGAAATCCAGCTAATAGTTCTTCAGCCTGCAGAATAAAGAGATACGAACCAAGGAGGTGTTGAAACTCCTATTGCCGAGATTAGCTAGAAAATCTGAACAGAATTACTCTGGACATCTTGAGTCCCTTTTCAGAGCAGAATTACTCTGGGCATGCTTTATTTTTCCCTTTGGTTTTGAAATTTCTTTTCTGTTTTTTCTTTTTTTTTTGAGGCAGAGTCTCACTCCGTCACCAGGCACCAGGCTGGAGTGTAGTGGCGTGACCTTGGCTCACTGCAACCTTCGCCTCCCGGGTTCAAGCAATTCTCTTGACTCAGCCTGCCGAGTAGCTGGGACTACAGGCGCGCACCACCACGCCCAGCTTTTTTTTTTTTTTTTTTTTTGTATTTTTAGTAGAGATGAAGTTTCACCATGTTGGCCAGGATGGTCTTGATCTCTTGACCTCGTGATCTGCCCACCTCGGCCTCCCAAAGTGCGAAATTTCTCTTCTCTTAACAGTTTCTTTCCATAAATTCTGGGTCTGCATTCTTAGACATAATGGTCAATAAAGAACTCCAGTGAATGAGTGAGTCTTCACTCCACAGGTGGAAATTTTCATCTTTATGTTAGGTAAACTAAAACTTTCAGGCTTAGATACTTAATAATTTTATCTGTATGGAAACCTCTATGTTCAATTACTTATAATCACACACTGGCTCAAAGAATTCAATCTCAACTCTAGCCTTGGGTTCTACTCACTATCCAGGTGGCATAACCTATACTCCTGGATTCTAGTCTAGGCTATTTGAAAGTCCACACCTTCAAATGATCCATAAGTACTCAGTTCACATTTATATACAATTTTATCATTATCTTTTCTTATTTTCTCCCTCTGTTTTCTCCTTTTATAAAAATCTGCTGAGCACCTCCTAGGTATTAGACACAAAAATTTAGAGATAAGTAAGATTGTTCTTATCCTTAAAAAGTCCTTTCTCAGTGTGACAAGTAAAACATCATGTTGGGAACATTTGTTAACTTCCTTCCAATAATGGAAATCCTCATCAACGGCTAGTGGAAAGTCTTACTGAACTTAGCAGAAAGGCTGAATCTTGAGCTAAGTGTTAAAGTAAATGGTATTTTATTGGGGGTCATGATGAAAATGAGGAATGACATCCTAAGCTGAAGTAACAGCTAATATAGAAGTATGAAAAATAGAGTCCATAAACCCTAAGTCTCTCTACTTGTATGTTTATGCAAAAAGCATTCAGAAAATTGCGTGAGATGGTAGAGTTGAATTCTAGGATGTGTTCATATGAGGGAAAGAAAAATGACAACACAAGAGGGTTAAGGTTGAGATGACCTCAAAGGAACACTTAGACTGGGTGCAGTGGCTCATTTCTGGAATCTCAGCACTTTGGGTGGCCTAGGTGGAAGGATTGCTTGAGTCCCGGAGTTCAAAACCAGCCTGGGCAACATAGTGAGATCCTGTCTCTAAAATTCAAAAAAAAAAAAAAAAAAGGGAGAACACTTAAAGTGGGCTTTCTCGATTACTGAGCAAAATATATCTTATACATTAAATTGCTTGTATTGTCTATCAATCATTCTTTTAAAAATGTATTTATTGAGACACAACATACAATGAAATTCTCCTTGTAAAGTGTATGATTAAATGGTTTAGTCTATTAAAAGAGCTGTACAAGCATCACTGCAATCTAAGTTTATAATATTTTTATCTCTGTTGAGAGTCACTCCATATTCTACCACCACCTAACCCTAGAAAACCACTAATTTACTTTCTCTCTATATAGATTTGTCTGTTCTAGACCATTTGTATTAATGGAATATACAGTATGTGATCTTTTTTCTTTTTGTTTAACTTTTATTCTAAGTTCAGGGGTACAAGTGCAGGTTTGTTCCACAGGTAAACTTGTGTCATAGGGGTTTGCTGTACATATTTGTTCATCACTCAGGTAGTATGCCTGGTACTCATTAGTTATTTTTCCTGATCCTCTCCCTCCTCCCACCTTCTATCCCCCAATAGGACCCCAGGGTGTGTTGTTCCCCTCTATGTGTCCATGTGTTCTCATCATTTAACTCCTTATTAATGAGGGCATAGAGTATTTGGTTTTCTATTTCTGTGTTACTTTTCTAAGGATAATAGCCTCCAACTCCATCCATGTCCCAGCAAAGGACATTAACTTGTTCTTTTTTATGGCTGCATAGTATTACATGATCTATAATGAACCACATTTTCTTTATATACAGTGCTTGTGAGACTGTAAATATGTGATTTGTTTTGTGACTGGCTTCTTTATTTAGCACAATATTTTAAATGTTGTAGCAGATATCAATACTTCATTTCTCTTTATTGCTGAATAATATTTAAGTATGTAGATACATTATAATTTATTTATCCATTTGTCACTTGGGTTGTTTCCACATTTTGCGTATTATGAATAATACTGCTGTGAACATTAGTGTACAAGTTTTTGGGTAGACACATTATTCAATTCTCTTCACTGTGTACTTAGAGGTGAAATTGGTACCACTATGTTTAATTTATTGACAAACTGCTCTACTGGTTTTCAGAACTGTTGCACCATTTTATGTTCCCACTGGCAATACATTTAGGTGCCAATTTTTTCACATCCTTGTGAATATTTGTTATCTATATTTTTTATAACAATCCTGAGAATGAAGTAGTTTCTCGTTGTAGTCTTGATTTGCACTATTCTAATGGCTAATTATGTTGAGAAGATTTTCATGAGTTTACTGGATATCTCTATATCTTCCTTGGAGGGATGCCTATTCAAATCCATTGCCTACTTTTAATTGAATTATTTATCTTTATTGCTGTTCTTCCTACATTTGGGATAGCAGTTTTTTATTAGACATATGATTTGCAAATATTTTTCTCACATTATATGGGTTGTCTTCACTTTCTTGATTGTGTCTTTAGATATACAAAAGTTTTAATATTATTGAAGTCCAATTTATCAAGCTTTCACTTGTACTTTTTAGATATTTGAGAAACTATTGTCTAATCAAGTTTGTAATAATTTACTCTTATGTTTTCTTCTAAGAGTTTTGTGCTTTTAGTATTTATATTTAAGTTTGTGCTTCTGAGTTAATTTTGTGTGTGTATGGTTTAAGGAAGAGATCTAAGATCATGATTTTGCATGTTGTTCTCCAGTTGTCCCAGCACCATTTGTTGAATATTGTTCTTTCCCCATTCAGTTGTCTTGAAACCCTTGCTGAAATCAATTGACCATAAATGTAATGGTTCATTTCTGGATTCTCTGTTCCTTTGACCTATATATATATTCTTTTTCCATTACCAAACTGTTTTGATTGCAGTAGTTGTGTAGTAAGCTTGGAAATAAGAAGATACAACTCCTTCAACTTTGTTCTACTTTTTTTCAAGATAGTTAGGCTATTCTAGGACCTGTCCTGTTTCTACTTACATTTTATGATAAGCTTATTAACTTCTACAAAAAAAGTAAGCTGGGATTTTGATGGGGCAAACATCAAAACCCTATCAAAGGGAATCATTTGGGCATTTTTGCCTAATTTTTCCTTATTCATTAATATGGGATGTATTTTACTTTTATTAAGAAGTTTATCAATTTTGTTGACTTTTTAAAAATAGCCTTTTGTTTTATTGATTTTTCTTGTCGTTTCCCATTTTTCTGTTCTATTGGTTTCTGCTATTATCTTTGTTATTTCATTCTTTCTGCTGACTTTATATTTATTTTTCTGTTTATAATTTCTTGAGTTAGAGAATCAGGGGCGTTTTGAGACATTTCTTCATAGCCAATATATCCTTTAATATTAAAAATTTTCTTTTTGACACTATTTTAGTTGCATTCTACATATTTTGATATAA